GGGAGGTGGGGTGGGAGCCGTTAGCGGAGGTGCGGTTGGTGGGGAGGTAGCCGGTGGGAGGCGGGGAAGCGTAGAGTTCGGGAGGCATGGGGTTGGCGAACTGCGTGGTGATCGGAGGGGGGGAGGCGTAGAGTTCGGGGGGCATCGGGGTGGTGGAGGTGTACAATTCGGGAGGCATGGTGGATGCGGAGGTCGGCGCGTTGCCACCTCCGGAGCTGAACTGCCTGGACACCGTTTTTCTTGAGGGTGACGTCGCGCTGACAGGACTCTCCGACGGATTGACGCTCATGCGATCCATGAGCTCGTGCAGCCGTTCGCGTTCCCAGTCCACCAGTCCCGAATTATGGCTCGATTTGCGTTGCTCGATCGCTGAGAGTAGCTGCCCACCTTCCGAGCGGCGGTTGTTGACAAACGTCTCGACATTCTTATGGAGGCTATCGACGGTGTCTTTCATCTCGGTGTAGAATGCCTGCGCGCGCATGAGGCCTTGCACCAGGTCGTTGAAGGCTTGGTACACCTTGCGGTATTTGCTGATCACCGAATTGCGTTGCCGGGAGAAGGCTTCGTATTTGGACTGTTCCGCACGGACGCGCTTGTCCTGGAGGAGGTCGCCGTAGACGCGGGTCAGTTCTTTCATCAAAGATGTCTGCTTGTGGTTGGCTTGTAGGATTCGGGTTTGGTGAGGCCGGAATTTCTCCAATTCGGTCTTGAAGAGCTGGGCTTCCTGGTTGGTGATGGCGCGTTTATTGAGAATAAGCACATTGGAAATGTCATCGTTGTGAACCTGGTCATATTAGCGTTGCCCCATACAGGTCTCGGACGAAACCCTACCTTCTCCTTCAGATCTTTCAGCACCGCCGCCCGCTCTCGCTTGATCAAGTTCAGCTTCTTCACCAGCTCTTCCACGTTCGAAATCTGGTCTGCTACACTCGGTCCGCCCTCAAAGTCGTCATCAATCAAGCTCCCCTCCACTTGGGGCGACCTAGGACTTCCGATGCCCTTTCCTTTGGCTCGTGCCGCGCCAGCCTTAATCATTGCCCGCTGATATAAAACGTCCGCCTCGTCCGTCTCACCGGCACTTCTCATCTCGTCAAAATCCGCCTCGTACGTCCGGAAGGTGCTGAAAAGCTGCGCATCGCTGGTGGACGCCTCCTCAATCGCCCCTTTGTAGTTCTTGATATCGCTGCGTAACGTTGCCGTGAGCCGCGAACTCGGTTGCTGGGTCCAGTCATCGCCGTACTTCGACCGCATCTTCTCGCATACGCTTTCTTCCATATCCAGCTGCTTCTGTGACTGATCCAGCCGCGATGTGATCCCGGATTTGTCGGCGGAGAGCTGGTCGAAGGCTTTGTTGAAGGGTTGATGTCCAGCGAGCTCCTCGCACCATCGGCGGAACTCGGGATCGACACGGACATCTTGGTCCATGCCGCCTTTGAGGACGTTCAGGCTTTCGGGCAATTTCAAATAGTCCAGACTTGCTTCCATTTCGTCATCTGCGACCTCGACACGCTCTGTCTCTGCCCGGACGACTTTCGCTTTTTCTTCGTCATACAGGCTTGCCGACTCCGTGACCGCCATGGGAACAATCTTCTGGAAGATGTCGGGACCGATGATCCGCTGAATATCCTGACCTTGATACAACTCGCTCACGGGGATGGCTTTCGCAGCTGGTAACTTCGGGATCGGCGATAGCGACGCCTCGCCGGGAACTGGCTGATGATAAATGAAGTCGTTGTCTTTCGAGAACTCTCGGTACTTCTCCTGGACATTCACCAGGTGTCGCTTGGTGATGTCGCTGAGGATGACGCCGGTGTCGGAAGTCAGGTTGGAACTTGATGGCACGGAGGATGGAATGGCCGTGGCGAATCGATTCGCTTCTCGCGCAAGACCTTCCGCGACCTGTAGTCGGCATACCGCGACTCCGTGGGCGTTCGCATCATTGTCGGCCAGCGCTTGGTAATACTGTGCGAGTGCTGCCATATGGCTAGCTTTGGCCTAATCAAATCAACACTGCCCCATCACTGCAGAGGTGGACATACCTGAGCGACTAGCAGCCAAACCCGCTCAAAGATCGCTTTCGTCACATTCTCCTGAACGCCTTCCAATGCCTGCGCGTAGAGAAACGCGGCCTGACTAGCCAACTTCGCCAACAACCCTACCTTCTTATCGTCCGCGATCTGCTTTTCCAGAAACACTTCCTGCCCCTGCGCCAACATCAGCGCGATCAGCGTCTTCACCGTCTCCCGACTCAAGTCCATGCTCGGCGCGTGCAGGAAGTTCTCGTTGATGTAGGTGAACATGCCCGCGGCGGCCTGAAACGAGTGGTATGCGGTCTTCAACCCCGTATCTTCGAATCGGTTCTGGTGCGCCGCGTGGCAGGACAACACGGCTGAGATGTTGAATATGATGGATGCTTTTTCATACGCCAGAGAATACTGGGACGTCGGTTTATGTGTGAATGCGTCGAACCTGCACTGCATTAGCCCTGCTCCCAACACCCCAATGATTCGCGTCCGATGGGCCGAACTCACCAAGTAAACGAAATCTTAATATGATTCTCATCCACGGGAAACCGCAGATCCAGCAGCTCCAACTGCCCGTAATACCGATACAGCAGATCCCGTCCCGCCGCGCTGTCCTTCCCCGCGCCTCGCATGTCCTGCCGCAGGCGATTCAGCATCGCACACTCCTCGTTGTACCGCTCGGGATCATCGCCATAGGTGTCGCGTATGTACGCCTTCAGCGGTGTGATCCAGTCGACCTCGTTGGTCTGCTTGAGCGGACTCGAGAGCATAGGCGTCTGGGCGAGCATTGTGGCGGTGGCGGTCGATGATGGGAGGGGAAGATGGAGGCGGTTAAGTGCGGGTGGAGGAAGAGGAAGAGGTGGAGGCGGTGGTTTGGTGAGGTGATTCGTATTGGGACGGCCAGGAGATGGGGTGATGCTGCAGATGTTGGTTTATGCACTTATCCGTGATGACGGGGCGCTACACGTCGTGGATTGGGGGTCGGTGGTTCCAATTCCAATCGTGGGAGGACCATGGACGAGAGTCTCGCTGTCTTCACCGGCTTGGAGGCAACGGGGTCACATTCACCAGCTCTGGATGGTCATGTCGTGCAAAATGCCGTCGTGTTGGTGAGTTGGACCTCGTGTAGGCTGACGTATTGATTGGGCAGGTGTGCGTCGTTGTCGTGGCCCAACGGAGCAGAGGTAGCGAACGGAGGATTTGGCTTTAGATAAGAATCCAAGATGACGCACAGTGAAGGATACAATGTCCAGGTGATGGATTCGGAGAGCCTAGCAAGGTGCGACTTCGCGTTGCTGGGAGATGTGAGGTGTTCGGTTCCTTGCGTGAAGGCGGGCGTAGTGGTGTGTTATTTAGTGTGAAGGCGGGGATGCCTGGCGGTTGGATGCAGTGGAAATGGCCGACGTCGCTGAAATCAAGAGGATACCGACAGTGTCCGATCAAACAAGTTACAAGAAAGACAAACCCTCGAGGAGCTCTGAGAGTGGTGAACTGGTGATGTTGAGATGGAGGGCGAGAGATGATACAGCAGTGGAATGTTGTGCGTCTTTCACGCTGCTACTTGTTACAATCATCAATGAGCATCTCTCAGAGCATGGACTCGTAGCGGGAGGGACCGCGACCTCTGCGGCCCAATCTGCGACCGCCCACGCGCGAGGAGCTGTGATCCCTAAGCGCTGACCGAGTGATGGCCCTGGGGCTAGCGCCGATCGGGAAACCCGCTTGGTCAATCAATCTTCTTGGCTGTGGATATACGAATAACGAAATACTGTTGAGGCTGTGTGGATGCGGATGGGGAGGAGGACGAAGGATGGGTTTAAATGATAAATTGAGGAATGGAGGTAGATGGATAGAAGGGGAGTTGTTGCTCTCTACCTTGGTCTATCAGAAGCACATAATACACATCTGGTACACTGCTAATTATACCGCAAGTTCTAATCTTATTTGGGTGGCTTTCTGGTGCTACAGCTTGGTACAATCTACAGATACAATACAAGATTGGGGATTCTCCAAACCAAACCCATCCCGTCTCCTCGTACAGTCCCAAATGAAAACTCCTTCCCATGCACGCTGAATCAATGGTCCTGGAGGTATGCCAGTGATGAACGGAGATGACCAAACCGGACGACCGTGAAGGGATGTCGAAAATCAGGACCGCCAGCCTCTATCAACTGTCTATTCTGATCCCGACGACTTCTTTTTCTCTTCTTTCGACGATTGCTCGCCCTCGCCGGTGGACTTCTGGTCGCCAGTTGGCTTCTGGTCGCCAGTTCGCTTCTGTTCGCTGGAGGCCTTCTGTTCGCCGGTGGCATTCTCGCCGGTTGTCGTCTGTTCGCCGTCCTTGAAGTTATGCTGCCCGGTCAACGAATGCCACGCCGACTTCAAGAACCCTTCACCCTTATGTGCATCGGCCTTATTCGCATCCACCGTATCCGTCTTGTTCTCGCTCCGCCCATCCTTCCCAGCCGCCCTTGAATCCGCATCCATCTGCCTCAGATTCATAATCCGCTTCGCATTCTGATCGCCCATCTCATCCGCCAACATTTCCAAGATCGTCCGCTGATTCGCGCTTAGATACTTCGGCATCGACACCTTGAACTCGACGCGCAGATCGCCCGTCCCGGCGCGCTTGCCACCGAGCTTGGGCATGCCTTTGCCCGGGAGGGTGATCTTGTCGCCGGTGTTGGTGCCGGTGGGGACGCGGATGCGCACGTCGGCGTCGAGGGTGGGGACCTCGATTTCGCCGCCGAGGATGGCGGTGGTGAGGGGGACCGAGGCAGTGTACAAGACGTCGGAGCCGGAGCGGCCGAACTTGGGGTCGGGTTGGACACGGATGAAGACATAGAGGTCGCCGCGTTGACCTTTGACGGGGCCTTCGGCGCTCGCGTACCCGGTCGCAGGTGCATCGCCTTCGCCTGACACCCGTAACCTCATCCCATCTTCGACTCCCGCTGGGATATCCACCGAGATGGTCTTTCTTTCCCTTACAGCTCCCGCGCCCGAACAGGTGCCGCACTGCCCCCCTCGCGGGGTCACCTGCCCCGAGCCCGAACAATCCGCGCACGTCGACGCCATCTGGAACCCTCCTTGCATGAAATGCACCCTCTGCCCCGTCCCATCGCACTTCCCACACTTCTCCCGCTTCGTCCCCTTCTTCAGCCCGTTCCCATGACATGTCCCACATTCCGCCAACGGCGTCACCCGGATCTGCTTCGATACTCCCTTCGCCGCGTCCAGGAACGACAGCGACGCCTGCACCTCGATATTCTCCCCCACCAGCACCTCATCCATGAAAGGGTTCGCTCGCCCGCGCCGCGTCCGCCGCCCCCCGCCGCCAAACGCACCGAACAGATCCTCGAAGCTGAATTCCTGGTTAAACCCGCCCGCGCCCGCCTGGCCGCCGCCGAATCCACCGAATCCACCGAATCCACCGAACCCGCCACCGAACGGGTGCCCACCGGGCCCGCCGGCGCCGGCGGATGGGTCGAAGCCACCGTTTTGGTCGAAGGCGGCGGAGCCGTACTTGTCAAAGGCTTCCTTGCGTTTGGCGTCGGAGAGCAGCTCGTAGGCGCCTTGAGCGTCTGCGAACTTGTCTTTGGCGCCGGCGTCTTTGTTGGTATCGGGATGGAATTTCTTCGCGAGGCCATAGTATGCTTTCTTGATGTCGGCGGGCGAGGAATTACGCGGGACGCCGAGGACGGTGTAGGGATCTTTCATCGCGGAGAAATGGTTGGAAGCGTGGAAATGCTGGGGTGGAATTAGTATCGTATTCGAATTCATGCATCCATTTGGGGTTGTAGATCATCTCGTAGAGAGCGAATGTTACTCACCCTTCTCTGTCCTGGTATCGACAACCTCTCCCCCGATACTCGACCTGATGGTCGCCATGTCGTTCGGCTATGACATGTGCTGAGCTCCCTCCTGCCTAGATTCGGCTTCTGTATGCCCGAATCACTATGCCTCTGCTGCGTTCGAGGTACACAGGAATGTGTAGCAATGGTCCCAACCCGCAGTGGCAACGCTGCCCTCAACGACGAGGTCGATGCCGCTGCGACACTCATCGCGCTCCTTTCTCCTGTTTGCACTGATGGGGTTGTCTTGTTATATCGAGCTCATGGGGTATAACGAAGGAAATGCCAGAATTCGGCGAATTAAAATGAATACAGGATCGATTGATCGGACTCGAAGAATGGACTTGAAGAGGTGTTGGTTACTGAGTATAATTATCTTCACCCAAAGATGTTGTTCGAGAAATTTCCAATGCATGGACGAGAGATGGTCCGTGCAGTTCACCCATCGTCATTTAGTCATTATCTGGAACTCATCTCATTGGCTGAGAGAATCGGATATCTCAACTCTTAACGCCTAAGCTTCGACGACGGCTTCGGTTGAGTTCGGTCTTACTGTTCATGTCCCGCTTCCTGTGGTGGTGACTGGTGTGGTTGGTGCCGATATTGTTATACAATCATAAATGAATGCCGGTAAGGTTAATAAGGCTTGCGTGAGCGTGAATGGGATATATAGGGTTCTGGCACCTGTGGTTACCGGCATATAAAGTCAGTCGTAGTTCGTCATTTCATTCCACTACAGTTCAACCTCAATCAACTCTGTTCTATATCTCATCAAAGTCTTGTCCACCTCCAACCATACCCTCAACCATGTCCTCCACCATCCGCGCCTGGACCTTCACCCACGGCGGCTACCCCTCCTCCATCTCCCTCGCCACTCTCCCCTCCCCCACCTCCCCTCCAAACCCAACCACCATCCACATCCGCCCCCACGCCATCGCCCTCAACCCCGTCGACATCCAACTCATCAACCTCCCCTTTTGGTCCATGCCGCTCCTCACTCGCGTCTTCCCCGCCCTCCCCGCCCCGAAAGGCATCGCCGCCGACCTCGCCGGCACCGTCGTTGCGGCCGGCAACAACTCCGGGTTTGCAGTTGGGGATTCCGTGTTTGGGATCGCGTTCACGCCGACGACGGGGACGGCGCAAGAGCTGGTAGAGGTGGATGTGGGGGAGGGGGGAAAGGGAACAGCGAGCGCGGTGATTTTAAAAAAACCGGAGGAGTGGAGCTGGGAGCAGGGCGCGGGGTTGCCGTTGGTGTGGTTGACGGCGCGGAAGTGCGTGAAGGAGGTGGAGGGGTGGGTGGGGAAGAAGAGCGGGAAAGGGAAGAGCGACGAGGGCCGGGTAGTGGTGTTGGGGGGGAGTTCGGCGACGGGGATGTATGCGGTGTGGTTGGCGAGGAAGCGAGGGTGGAGCGTATTGGCGACGTGTTCGGGGCGGAATGCAGAGTTTGTGAGGGGGATGGGGGCGGAGGTGGTGGTAGATTATACGGTGGAGAAGGTGCCGGAGGAGGTGAGGCGGTGGGGGCCGGATGCGGTGATTGATTGTGTGGGGGGGACGGAATGTGTTGGCATTGCGAATCGATATGTCACGATTGTGGGGGATAAGACCTCGAGATTGACTATGGGAGGTGCGGCGTTATATTTGACGAGTCCGACCATGTACCTTCGGTGGGCGCTGGGAAAGGCTGGACTTGGAAGCTCGTATGATTGCGTCAATCTCGAGTTTAACAAGGAATTCCTCGAGGAGGCGTTGACATTGCCAAAGGACAAGATCGCTATCGACAGCGTGTGGGAGTTTGAGCAGTTGATGGAAGCCTTTGAGAGGCTTAATACCGGTCGGGCAAGGGGGAAGGTGATTGTCAAGGTCGCAGAATAAGTTTCATCCAACTCAGATAGATAGAACGATATCATACAGCCATACGAAACTTTAGCTTGTCTTCTTTTACAATCTCCTCCCGCATGGACTCCAGCTGTTCAACATCCCAATTTACACTCACGTACCGTCCGGATAGCCAGTCCCGCTTCTCCTTTGTCAGCCAGGTCAGAAACCCTCCAACCAACCCAATATCATCGGTCAGGACTGCGCGGGATCGGTTAGTGATGCTCCGTCTGCCTCGAGCAATAACTTACTTTGGTCCCACATATCCCCCTTATCATTGCTGTGAAGCTCGGTCTGAGCTGTCACCACCGCCCCGGGATGGATCGAGTACGCACACACCCCCAACCGGGCATTGTGATCATTATGAATGTGCTCAACCAGGCGATTGACCGCGATCTTGCTCACGTTATACGCTATCGGAGTGGCGGCGCTAGCAATTGAATGGGACGCGAGCGAAGTGATCTGAACAAATGCCTGCGGCCCGTCCTTAGTGTCCGCCAACAGTGGCACGAAGTGCTTCGCGGTGTACACGCTTCCCATGAGATTGATATCGATCACCCGCTTGAAATCATCATCTTCCATGACCCCGACTGGCAACTGCCGCTTTCCGTCTGAATCGATCAGATAGTTCGAGATGACTCCAGCGTTGGCTACTACCACATCCAACCTGCCGAACTCCGCTTTCACCGCATCCGCCAACGCTTTCACGTCCTCTTCTTTCGTCGTGTCGCAGGTCTTCACCAGCACTTTCACACTGGGATTAGCCTTCTTCAACTCCGCCTCGAGCGACTCGAGATCTGTTGCGGTACGTGCGGCGATCGCTATCCCGCTGACCCCCGCTCGAACGTAGTCCATGGAGATCACCCGACCTAACCCCTTGCCCGCGCCGGTCACCACGGCCACGAACGGCGAGCGCAGCGGGTTCGATTCCGGGAGGGTTGGGCCTTCGGCTTTGGTGTGGATGGTCGGGGTGAAGGTGATTCCATAGCTGGCGGGGCCTGCGGAGACGGAGTTTGAGGAGGGAGGCATGATGGTAGGGAGACTTTGCTTTGAACCGAACCAATTGGCAGATTGAATAGACTAACACTGGAGAGCAGAGAAGGGAAGATTGAAACCGTATATTTACACCTAGTTACTGGTAGTTACCGTAGTTCGCGATCTACATCTTGAAGTCGGCGGGGTAATCTTGCCCGAGTCGCAACCGAGCAAGATAGTTATTAATTACCCTAAGCTGAAGTCGTTAGTTGGGGTTTCAGACTGACCACGCTAACTGCGTAACATTATCCTCGAAGTCACATATCTCATAGACGACATTCGGAAAGAAAGACAGGAACAGGAGGCATCAGTTCCGTGCATGTAATCATTGTCACTTGATATGAAGATAGGTATTGATTAGCGGAGAACGACATCCCTAGTATAGCTGCTCGCTGGGAATTTCATGGATAAGGAGAATTTAGGAGATTCTTTCTTTCAAGTCGCTCTAGGTGGAAATGATCGAAACTTGTAGACAATTGTAAGCTGATGAACTCAATTGAAAGACTGACGGGATGGAAGTGATTAGTCAAAATCTGGTCACGTGTAAACAAGCACTCGGGCAATAATATGGCATTCGCAAGATATCATTGGGTCAAGTCTGGTGCGTGTGTAAACAATCATTTAGGCAATAAGGCATCGATTCTCGTTGCCATAACAAAACACGCCGCTTAATTCCACTTTGTCGCGACATGAGATGATGATAGCCACAACCGATGTAGGAGCCCAAGAGCTGCAAAAATGAGGGTTATAGAACTAGTCATTGATGTGAGCATGGTTGTAAATCTGATACCGAGCGCTGCTAACTCGAATCCAGGGCTTCAAATCATATGCCATCCGGACCGTCATATCGGGATGGTAAACAATCCTCCCCTTCTCGCGAAAGCTATTCCTTACGAGTGAACATAGGGACGCAAGCTTCAACTCGATCACAGGCCTGAATGGGAGCGGAAAGTCCAATATCCTCGACGCGATATGTTTCGTTCTCGGCATCACCAACGTGAGCGTGGTGCGCGCGCAGAACCTCCAGGACCTTATTTACAAGCGCGGACAAGCCGGAGTCACGAAAGCGAGCGTTACAATCACATTCGACAATAGTAACAAGAAGACGAGCCCGATCGGCTTCGAGGAATATGCGCAGATTTCGGTCACCCGCCAGATCGTGCTGGGCGGTACCAGCAAGTACCTCATCAATGGACACCGTGCCCAGCAGCAGACGGTCCAGAACCTATTTCAATCCGTTCAACTGAATATCAACAACCCGAATTTCCTGATCATGCAGGGTCGAATCACGAAGGTTCTGAATATGAAAGCGGTGGAAATCCTAGCGATGATCGAGGAGGCGGCAGGGACGCGCATGTTCGAAGATCGACGTGACAAGGCTATCAAGACGATGGGCAAGAAGGAGTTGAAGTTACAAGAGATTTCCGAGCTTCTGACTGAAGAGATTGAGCCGAAATTGGAGAAATTACGTCAAGAAAAGCGGACGTTCCTCGACTACCAACAGACACAAAGCGACTTGGAGCGTTTGACACGATTGGTGGTCGCCTACGACTACGTCCGGTATAACCAAAAGCTATCAAGCGCCGCAGACGATCTCGAAGCCAAGAAAAACCGGGTACAAGCATTAGAGGAGTCTGCCATCCGACTGAAGCGAGAAATTGACTTCCTCCAAGAAGATATCAACAAGGTTAAGTCTGCAAGGGAGAAGGAGCTGCGAAAAGGGGGCAAATTCCAGGCGCTGGAGGAACAAGTCAAAACTCATTCCCACGAGATCGTCCGACTCACGACCGTCATCGACCTCAAGACTTCGAACCGAAACGAAGAAGTCGACAAACGCCGCCAGCTAGAAGTCAGTGTTAAGGATCTGGAGCAGCAGCTGGCGGAGAAGACCACGATTCACGAGAAACTCGAGGTACAGTACGCGAAGGCCCAATCCGAATTTGAGCGAGAGAGCAAAGAATTCGAGCAAAAGGAAGAGCTGTTGCAGACACTCCAAACCGGTGTTGCGTCACGGGAGGGGCAGGAGGGCGGCTACCAAGGCCAACTACAAGCCGCGCGGACACGAGCAAGCGAATCTGCCACCCAGCAAGAGCAGGCAAGACTAAAGATCAAGCATCTCGAGCAGCAGATCAAAGAAGAGGAGCCGCGTGCCAAAAAGGCGAAAGAGCAAAATTCCGATCTACTGAAGGGCCTCGATGCGCTGCATGCCCAAGCGAAGAAACAGGAATTCGATTTGAACCGGCTGGGATTCGAGCCGGGGATGGAGCAAGACCTGTACCAACAGGAGTCGCATCTACAACAGCGGGTACGAGACCTTCGAAGTCAGGCGGATGGCTTGCGTCGGAGGGTTTCGAATATCGACTTCACATACCACAATCCGACCCAAAATTTCGACCGGTCGAAAGTCAAGGGTCTCGTCGCGCAATTGTTTAACTTGAACAAGCAGCACACACGAGCCGGTACAGCCCTTGAGATCTGCGCCGGTGGCCGGTTATACAATGTCGTCGTCGATTCCGCCGAAACCGGTACGCAGCTCCTGCAGAATGGCAGGTTGAAGAAGCGGGTCACGATCATCCCGTTGAACAAGATCGCGGCGTTCAAAGCGTCGGCCCAGAAGATCAATGCAGCGCAGAGAATCGCCCCGGGGAAAGTCAACCTTGCGCTGGAGCTGATTGGCTACGATGATGAGGTCTGCGCGGCCATGGAGTATGTGTTTGGATCGACCCTAGTCTGCGAAGATGCCGCGACTGCGAAGCGGGTGACGTTTGATCCGGCGGTTCGGATGAAGAGCGTCACGCTCGAAGGCGATGTGTACGACCCTTCTGGTACGCTTTCGGGAGGTAGTGCGCCGCATTCAAGTGGAATGCTTGTGACGCTTCAGAAACTCAATGAGACCATGGCTGAATTGTCCGCCGCTGAGCAAGAGCTATCTGCTCTGCACGAGACACTTTCTCGAGAGAAGCAGCGGTTGGATGCAGCCAGAGGCCTAAAACAGGGTCTTGACCTCAAACAGCATGAGATCAAGCTGACGGAGCAACAAATCAGTAGCAACTCGTCTACCTCCATCATCCAGGCCGTTGAAGAGATGAAAGCAACCATAGTGCAGCTCAAGCAAGATATTTCCGAGGCGAAGGCTGCACATAACGAAGCCTCCAAGGAGGTCAAGCGTGTGGAGCGAGACATGGAAGAGTTCAGCAAGAACAAGGACAGCAAGCTCGCCGAGCTGCAATCATCCGTCGAGAAACTCCGAAAGGCCCTCACAAAGGCATCAGGTACCATGAAGCCATTGCAGCAAGAGATGCGAGACGCCAAAGTCGAGCTTGAACAGTGTTCGGCCGATCTTGCCGCGACGCAAGAGCAGGGACAAGATCTCGACGTGACGCTAAAGTCACTTCAAGATGAGGTCGACGCGCTCGTGGCGGACCAGTCCAGCGCCAAAGAAGCTCACGACCAAGCGAAAGCCAACCTGGATACAGAACAGGCCAAACTGACCGGTTTCGACGAAGAGCTCCGGGCGTTGGAACAGGCTTCCCGGTCGAAGTCCGCGTTGACCACGGAGGAGGGCCTGGAATTGCAACGTCTCGGACACCAAGTTGACAAAGCCGAGAAAGAAGAACAATCCGCCTCCCACGCTATCGGCCACATGGAAAAAGAGCACGACTGGATCGCCGACGAGCGCGATGCCTTCGGACGCGCCGGCACCCCATACGACTTCAACGGGCAGAACATGTCCGAATGCCGCACGAACCTCAAAAGCCTCGTCGAGCGCTTCCAAGGGATGAAGAAGAAGATTAACCCGAAGGTGATGAGCATGATCGACAGCGTGGAGAAGAAAGAAGCCAGCCTGAAGCACATGATGCGCACGGTGATCAAGGACAAGAAGAAGATCGAGGAGACGATCGTCAATCTGGACGAGTATAAGAAGGAGGCGCTGCAGACGACGTGGGAGAAGGTCAACGGTGACTTCGGACAGATCTTCAATGAGCTGTTGCCGGGGAGTTTCGCGAAATTGGATCCGCCTGAGGGGAAGACGATCGCGGATGGGTTGGAGGTGAAAGTCAGCCTGGGCAAGGTGTGGAAGCAGAGTCTCACCGAGCTGAGCGGTGGTCAAAGGTTCGTTGCACCCTACCCTCTATTAATCTACCACTGACCGACCTAGATCGCTCATCGCGCTGTCACTCATCATGGCTCTACTCCAATTCAAACCGGCGCCGATGTATATCCTCGACGAAGTCGACGCCGCGCTCGATCTCTCCCACACGCAGAACATTGGGCGGCTGATCAAGACGCGGTTCAAGGGATCGCAGTTTATCGTGGTCAGTTTGAAGGATGGGATGTTCCAGAACGCGAACCGTATCTTCCGGACGAGGTTTAGTGAGGGGACCAGTGTCGTTACCGCATTGACGCCGGCGGACTTAAAGTAGAAAAATTCTCAAGGTTTTGATGTGTCACGGTACAGTTCTTGTCTGGTGTTGGCGCTGAGGATCCAGGCGGAGTTAGGGGTTATTGGGCATGATGCAGGTTTATGAGGTTGGTCTAGATCTGGTCTACACGATTACGAGTCTATATCACGCGCAGCTGCTTTCCCGGTTGCATTGATAGCCTTAGCAGGATACGTCGACCTGTAATGTAAGACCTTTTACACCGAGTTCAAGCATTACCGGTTGTACTTCGTACATGTATAAAATAATGAAGTCCACATTCTATGACTACTCTAACATGGTGTCTAACGATCGCTCGTGATAACTCCCACAAACTGTTAGAAGATATCCCTCTATCCATAACCCCAACCCAAACAGCTGATAGATCCGAAATACTCAAATGCCACCTTTCCAAAGTATCCACACATGCGATATTCTTACAAACAAGATATCCAACTCCTCAACCAACAGCCAAAACACTCCTCCCCCCATCCGCGCTCATCCGATCCCGAATCTGGACGCGCAAGAAGTCCGTGCCCAACCGTCGCGCGTCACTTTTCAACACTGCCGACGGCGCGAACAACAACGCTTCGCCAACCCCAAGGGTGACGATCGTTTCAAACACCTCCTTCACCGTTCGTCCACAGGCTTCCTCTTCTTCCTCCGCATCGTCTGTTCCGGCCTTGGCGAACTTCGAACGATTGTCCGCGGTAGATAGCAAGGACAGTCCGCCGACGTGGCGTTGCAGGGCGCGGAGCCATTCAGGGCTACTGAACCGGTGGACGAAAATCATCGAGCAGAGGTCGAGCAGGGCGGGGTTGATGGTCGGTTCTTGAGTAGCGATAACGACCCGCAATGCTCGGTGGCGTTGCTCGCGAATTCCCTTGAGGACAGCCGACGTGAATGATTGAGCGCTGGCCGACGAGTCAAGATAGTTGTGCGCTTCATCTAGGGCGACGATCTTGCCGACAGGGTCAGCCGCGCCGTTGGACGTAAGATCGGAACCTGGGCCCGAGAGGAACAGTGCCATCGCGATCTCAAACAGGGCACAGGCCGAGGAATTGTCTATGAACGGATCGGTCAGATCCAAGATGATGAGCGCCCCAGGTACCGGCTTTAGAAGGTCTTGTGAGACCTTCTTTTTCCGAGTCGAGCCCCTGGAATCGACGGCTAAGAGACTGTCCAGTAAGGCCAGTCGCAGATTTAAGGGCCCGGATTGAAGTTTTGTCAACTCCTGATCGGCGAGCCGGCGACGAAACTCGCGATAGTTGAGGTTCGAGCTCCCTTGGTTTTCTAGCCTCATTTCCCGAAGAATGCGAATCAAACCCTCCATATACAAAGGGACAGCACCATCCTTTTCGGAAAAGGCCATGAGCTTCTTCAGCCGCTCTGTGTTCAACTGGTTTGGCTGCAAATAAAATTCTTCAACTGTTAAAAACTTCGAAGCGTTCGGAACTTGCGAGTACAAGTCTTTCATCGTGAGATAGTTGCTGGGACTGACTAGCACCTTCACAGGTACCCCGGCCGAGCAGAGATGGGCCGCTTCACAAACCGTGGCTTCGTGCGCGTCGTAATGAAACATGAGGCCAGCAAGAGGTTTGATCATATTCCCAATCGTTGTCGAAGGGTGGAGGCAGCCCTCGAGTATGCAAGAGAGAGTATGACTTTTCCCACTTCCTTGAGATCCACAAATGAACGCCGACCATGGCGCATTGGTGTTGAGAAGAATTGGGTCAAACGGCTTCTCATCTTGCTCGTGGTCTTCTCTAAATCGTTTACTTATAGATTCTCCAAGAACCGAATACTGCGGGAATACCTTCCTCCCGCGAAATTGGGCATGTTGTTGAGATTCCATTTGGATCTGCTGTTTTGCGGTCCAAGTAATCAAAGGGGCGGTCCGGAGCTCTTCGGCTCGACTCTTTGGTTCACTAACCATGCCCTGTGCTTGGATATTTCGTCTCAAAATTGAACGGTACCTCGACAGCTCTGAGTCTTCGAAAAGAGGTGCTTGCATGGGAATAGTAGTGGGAATAGTAGTCTGTTTCTCCAAGGTTTCCAACCCAGTTTTACCCGCTAGCTCATGATGTAAGTTTTAGGCCAACAATGATGCGTAATATACTTACAACTTGTGAAGATATTTTTCGTTAGGGTCGGGGAAGGCTTGACATCGGGGACTTCGTCCACTTCTGAGTTTGATATTGGGAGTCCACGAGTCGGCAGTGTAGAAAACAGGCTTCCTGGGACCGGTTGCGATTTCATTTTAAATGAAGGGAGAGCCTTTTGCGTGAAGCCTTTCGTGTACGTTCCAGCTACCGTGGTATCCTCTCTGCTTGGATCAGCGTTTACGGGATCTCGAATAGCACTAGGGACTGTGGTGGTGGTGGTTGCTTTAGAGGAACTTCGACTGGCATGGATGCTAGGTTGAGGCGTCCCATTTTGAGCTCCGGATTTGCTTGATGCGAACGCGAGAACGTTCGGGACTGGTCCAAAAGATATTGAGACGGATGCCTTCGTATCAAAGGGGGCGGATTTCCTTGTGCCTTTGTTGGTGGGAGCAACCCCAAAATCGAACATCTTTGATCCCAAAGGATGCTGTTGAGATGTCCCTGTAGGAGAGCATTGTTGATTGCTAACTGCGACGCGTGTCGCCGAAGGGACTGGTCCTCGTTTGTCAGAGTCGCGCGTGTTGGTAGATCTCGTTGGCAAACTCTCCTGTCTTTGTGTAGTTCGTTGTAAGCCTCCAGTTGGGTTTAAAAATTGATCGGAAATGGTTCGGACACCCCCAGTTCGAGACGAATAGCTGGAGGCGTTAGACCGGCGGAGCTGTTGTGCTTTCAGAGATTCTTCTTCCGATTCATCGTCCTCGCTGCTAGAGAGGTCGACCCGAGACGCTGCGAGACCTCTCCCATCCGATTCTTCTTCCTCATTCGCCGAGACATCAGTGATGATGCCATAAGATGATAGGGAGGAAGCCCGGTGACTTAGGAGAGTCATGTTGCTCGCAGGAAGCATATGCTTTATCGGTAAGGAGGGGGACAACCAAAGCAAGTTGAGGGGAATTCGAAGGTTCGGTGGACTAAAAATAAACGAAAGTCTCCTCCAAAACCAACTCCCACCTCCACGGCCAATGAATGAAATATAACTGCTAATGAGGGTAGAGAGACATGCAATGAGATGGATTTGCAGATAGGAGAAGTCGGGAAAACGGGAAAACGCGTCTATAATTAAGGCGCGTCACGACACCATTGACCCTGCACCAGCGCGTGGTCACATGATCCAGTACTTACACACGTGACATTCAAAGTTACTCCATGATTAGTAAGCTTGCCTCAATTATGGCGATCTAATTAGCTATCGAAGCCATCCAAAACAATACACCATCCAATGCACTGAAAGGTCCACATCTGTTTCAGCACGCATTTCAATTATTACAGTATCCTTCTGCTTGAGATATTCAGCTGGGTATTCATTGATATAAATGAGAAGAGGGGAGCTAGAAAGCACCCCACTGATCGTAGCCTATATCTACACCCAGTAGGAGTGAAGTGCATCAGTGCTATCAGATACGGATCATACCGTCCAAAGTCGCTTCATTCCCATAATATCCATATATTCAACCTGCAAACTAACAAGCTTCTACTATCAAAGTTCTTTCCTCTCCTCCATTCCATCTGACCAGCGCTACTCACCCACCGCAGCACCCGAGATCAATCTCTCCACGAATAGAACTAACCCTCTTCAACCATGTCTGACTCCAACGAATGCATCACTGCCTACCCCAACGTCAAACCCAGTCCCCAACCCCGAACCCCCGGTGCGGCCTCGACAATAACTTCGACCCGCCCGCCAACTCCCCCCAACTCGAGTTCTGGCTCCAGAGGCAGCCGTATCTACAAGAATACGAGGGCCAGGACCTGCTCAAGGGCAAGGACGCATTGATTAATGGTGGATACTGGAATTGGTCAGTCTGTGGCGCTCTTGTTCTCGAGGGGGGGTGCCAGTGTCCTATTAACTACCTGCCTGTCAAAAAGACACGCGGGTTACCAAGCGGATGGTGGAGAGGGAGAGGTGGAAGTGTATGCTGGCACCTGCGGATCTGCAGGAGGAAACGAAGTATCGAGAGGTTATAGAGGGTACGTCGATGTGTTCGGGTGGATCGACATCTTGGGGATCAATAGTGGCTCTTCGGACAGCCTTATAATCCGAGCGTCGCGGGTTTGACTAGGATTCCATGAAAGACGCCAAAGTCAACCTCCAAACCGCCGAATCCACCTTCTGCACCAATCTCCTCGCTCCCTTCGCCCTCCCACACACCCCGCGGCAGTATCATCGTCAACTCCGCCTCCATCGCCGCCTACCCCGGCGACTAGGGGGGCATGGAGGGGTTGGAGGGAGGGGACAGACGCCGTTGGAGAGGGCGGGGATGCTGGTGAAGATTGCGGGGGCGTATGTGTTGTGGGGAGTCCGTTAGGGAGGATTTTACGAGGGAAACGATGCATGGGAATGGGTTTGTTGAGTATCAGGGTTAGGATGGGGCTTGAGCGAGGGTGGCTGATGGTGGAGGTGCCAAGCTGGGTGGGAAATGTATCGAATCCAGTTCGGCAGGGCGGAATTGAATTGTATGTTCGTAACGGAACTAATAGATTGGAAGATAATATGAATGAGGCTCATCGTAGCTTTTCATTAAGTATTCGTATAGTCAGTCTATCCTGCTTGTGAAACGTATCATGTCCATCGCACCTGGATGCTGCTTATCTCGCCAAACTCCCAGCTCCTAGCGTAGGACACACCAATCGAATATCCGCCACAGCCTAACGTCTATCCTTCGCAATCCCATACACGAATAGCTCCATCCCCTCCCTCGAACTTTCTTACAGAAGAACCATCCCCATACCCACGGCCGCCAACGCAACCACCACCCCCCAAACCCACTCTCGACTTGGCGCCATCCTCCCTGCCGCGCCCTCCTCGCCCGCTGCACCCTCACCCACAGCTCCCGCCCCACTCGTCGGCACCAGCGCACTCCCCGTTCCAGTCGCCGTCACCGTCGCCGTCGCCGAACCCTCGAGGTCCAGCTGCTGCCCGATCGACGGCAGGGAGACGTCGCCGTCGACGTCCCAGAAATCGGAGATGCGCGTTGGGCACGGCGGGGCGGCGAGGCTGGGGGTGTAGGCGGATTTCTGGACGCCGCTGGGGGTGAGGGTCTGCCATTGGGACTTGAGGTTGTCGAAGTCGGGTTGGACGGGGGTAGGGGTGCCGGAGCGGGTGAAGCCGTCGGGAGGGGCGTCGGGGAGGGAGGGGTCTACTTTTTCGCCGTAGCTGATGAGGCCGTAGTTGTTGGCCTAGAGGGGTTAGTGCGGCTCTATAGGAGGGTTGATTTCGAGGGGATTTACCTCTTGGATCCATTCGTACACGATGGAGCCGGACCAGTAAGGGGCCATCTTCGGGCCGAAAATGGCTGCTTGGTCGGCGAAGGTACGGGGACGCACGGTGTTGCAGCCCGTCTCGGAGAAGTAGATTGGAATCGAGTACTCCGTGACGTTTTTAGTCAACGCAGCATACCCCGACTCTTCGAAAGTCGTTTTGCCGCACCACTGGTTGAACATTGTCAGCATCCGATACCGTTTCAACTATGTGCGCATTGCAAACGTACCTCATATGCGTTCAACGCGAAGAAGTCGAGAGACTCGGAATAGTTGGTGCCGCATGCCAGATAATTCTGCAACATGGGGCGAAGGGTAGCGATGTCCGCGGCGGAGTAGCCGATGGGAATCTGGCGGTAGTCCTTGCTATCACGGTAGGCCTTCATGTCTCGAGCTGCGGCTTTGACATACGGGGCAGCAAGAGAGCCATTCTTCATGGTGATGACTTCGTTGCCGACGAAAAAGCCGGCCACGTTTTCGAACGTGTGGAACGCATCCATGACATCGCTGAACATGCTATGCTGGGTTTCATTCCACCACGGGTGATTCTAAATACACATTAGATATGTCATCTTGTTGTAGGTCTGTGCAAGCTTACCTGCTCGATCTGGGTATCGAAGTCATCGAGGTCAATAAAAGCGTAGATGCCTTTCTCAGCAAATGCGCTCATACATCCAGTATGGTCACCGCTCGGATTCACACTGCGAGTCTCGTTAGAAGGTTACGGAGGCACGAGATCCCCGGCCCTCAGGGGAGCTTACTGGTAGACGCGGATTGCGTTCGCACCCAGCTCGGACATCAGACTTGCATCGCGTTCGCATTGATCAGTGTCGATGAGGGGATCCTCCGGGACGAGCTGGTAGGCAATTCCTGTTGGCTTTAGCAACATTCCCATATCAGGGGACAGAGAAAGCTTGGTTACCCTTGATGAACCATTGGTCGCCTTCACTAGTGAAGAACTTTGAACCTTTGACTTCGATGGTGGGGATAGCAGCAGAAGATGCTGTCAACGCAGCCAACGTCGCGGCCAACAGTGATGAACGCATTTTGGTGGGATACCGTCTCTTTCTATTCTTTCTTGAAAGTAATGACCAACGAGTTTGACCAAATCAAGGGAACCAGAGTTTAAGGCAATTGGGAAACCAAACTGAGTCAATGGCTGTTGTCGCGGTCGTTTTCGCGGTCGTTGTCGCGGTTGTTGTCGTGGTCGTGGATATTTGCGAAATCGTTCACAAAGAAAGACGTTTGCGTACGTATGGACAGGTATTTACAATGTATAAGCAGCGCATGAGGCTCTTCACATAGTTGTATTGAATGACCGTGATTGAAGTGTCGGCGAAGGATCTCAAAACATCTCGGCTGTGAAATGAGGGCGATGGCAGGAGCGGGTCTCAGGTTGCCGATGGCGACTATCTCGTCACCTTCAAGTAAACTTCGATGCGAGATGAAAACGGATGTCGATAATGAACGTTATCCTTTACATTGGATTAAGTATAGTGACGACGATGGGATAAAAACAAGCAAACTTAAACATAGTCGTCTAACTAGTTTGGATCCACCACTAGACTAGAGAGGAAAGGTTAAGGAAAAGGGCGATGCTACTGTCGCCGCCCATTGTCTGAGAGGTGGAAGTTGACCTTGGAACTTGGAACTTGGAAATTGGAAGTAATTACAGGACACAAGAATCATCAAGCAAGGAGACCAATAACCTGGAACCGGAAGGCTTCTGGAAGTGTTCGGCTTCAACCCCACTTGGCTAGATTCGATCTTCCCCATTAAGAACACCAAAACCCCGTATCTTGGAGGTTTGGCTTCCATTGTCAAACCCCGATCCAACGAACACAGCGAAGGGAATACCGGAGCCAATTTCATTTCGTACATCGGTGTCATTCCATACCGGTGTTGCGATCACGGTAAATACGAAGTTATCTACGATGATTGATGAGACTGGTGATGGATTGATCTGAGCTGATTTCCGAATATGCGAGGTGATAATACTACGTAGTAGACATTGTGATACACGGACATACCATACAGTGTCCAGCACCGGTGTCCGGTACTACCATACTGGTATATGGGATGCAAGGCATCGTAAGCCAGCACAGGTGAGAAAAGGAGGTATCCGGATCCCGAGAAGATGGAGCAAGGTATGCTATGGTTCTTAGCCCTCTGGAAGGCCCTGCACTGAATAGATATCAGATTCGCGGCATCTCATCGAAGTCAAAGAATCACTGCTGAAAGGTCTAGGTGTCTTTGCGAAAGCTGATATATCGCGCGGCACTCGTGTCATTGCAGAACCATATAACAGTCCGAAGGTTTGCTGGATAGAGAGCTTGGAATTTCGCAAGTCTGATATCATGCTCCGACTCTGTCCAGTCTTACATTTCTTCAGCTATCATGATGGAGCCAGGTTCTCTTTGAGGTTGGGGGATACAGGAATGTCATTTTTATGGACTGAGAAAGAGCTGGAGATCGACCACTACTGCGTGGGAGAAGGTCATCCCGATCGTAAGAAAGAACTTGAAATCGTAGAACGATTGGGAGCGGCAACAACAAGCTCAGAGCCGATTAATGAATCCGTCAATCGATGGTTCGACCTACAAAATTCGCGGGAGAACTCTTACAGAACGATGTAGATGGTGACCAATTCAGAGCTGGTCCTCAGCAGGTTCAAATTGGGACATTTTCGTTGTCGCATAGGTATGGTACGGCACAGGGATATCCACGATCAGAGATACCGCTGTTAGACTATTAGTACGGGGGAGATCTGTATTATCATCGGTGGCGCGTTTCAACTGCTCGCAGCCACTCATCGGAGGTTGGCACCGATTCTTGGAAATTCAGGGAGGGGACTGCTGACTGGGGATGATAGATTGGTTTCCTTGGAATTGCGATATTAGGGGGGTATCAGGCTGGGAAGGGGGGTTAGGGGTATAGATAGTAAGGAGATGAGGCAATATCAGATCGCAGGATCGCCAATGCGATATACAGATATGCTGATCCCACATTGCAGACTACATGTTTGATGATACTTGACTACTTGAGCGCTGTATCTACTTAGGCTTCAGTCTTAAAGACATTGAGGCTCTACAGTCTACATTATCTTTCGAAACTTGAGAGTGGCCCGTTTGCACTCTGTACGAGTTGAGCTGCCGAAGGAAGGATCACAGCCGGGATCGCACATGACTCGTGTGATTAATTGGAGACACGAAGGACCGGTTCAACTTCACGCGTCGCAAGAGCCGTACTACGTAATCGTGCAAGTCGCAATGATCAATGATGAGATGGTGAGAGATCACTTGTGTTCAGAATCCAAGTAGGAGTCTGGGGTCTATCATGCTTTAAGGCACAATCATCACTTTTCAGTATTTCACTTCCGCCATCATGAATCACCCCGTCCAGGTCGTCAACCTCGTCTCCGACGATGAGCCTACTCCTAAGCGTCCCCGATACAGCGCGCCGGCACTGGGCAAACAGAATATGAGTTCATACCCCCAGAAAGCTGTGCAATCATCCAAACCAGTGGTTGTGAGCGCGGCAAGACATCATCATATGCCGGGGAACTCAGGCGTCCAAAGCGACATGAAACTATCGTGGACCAAGCAGGAGCTCAGGCGGCTCACCGGGGATTCCCCCCGCAAACTGTTCGAGATATGCCAATTGGTCATCTCTCCATGGCGTGTAAGTTGACTCAACATCTCATCCTCTCCAGTCTCTCTCGCCTCGATCCGAAACTGACCGCAATGCAGTCAGCGCCTTATACTCCACTCCGAATCGACTACCTTCCCGATGGCGTCCTACATGCGCTTCACCGCTACCTCAGGCATGGAGAGTTGCGCCACTATGACGAAGGGGATAATGGGACATGCAAAGTCACGAAACCTCCCCAGGGCCCCCCACAAGCACCGTCCGCGCCCGCTGCGGTGGACATGTCGAAAATTTCTAGAGTGGGAATCCAAGAGACGCTCAGACTGGTCCGACTTGCGCATCCTACGGAGTTAGAGAAGATCATTTCCGAGCTGGCGTTAAAGAGTCCGTCCTTACGACTTGCGCTGCTGAAGTACTTGGATCCCAGGGCACACCGCGAGGTGGAGGCAGAAATGCAAAAGCGGACGCAACCGACAAACAGCGTCCATCCGCACTGGAAGATGGAGCAGAAAATAAAACCAGAAGTGAGGTCGCCGTTTGCGGAAACTCCAGCATCTCCGGGGTCACACAGCAAAGTTAAGGACCTGGGTTGTTCTCCAACAGCTCCTGGTCAGGCAGATGTCCCTCCCACACCCCCCTCGGCTTTCCAAGGACAGCCGTATCCGGACCTTAACACCTGGCGTGGGACCCTCTACTCTTTACCACCTCAGCATGGATCGTCACATCAAGCACCTGGACCCAGCAATACCGTCCCATCCTCCCTAACAGCCCACCAAAGACCTTCACACCAATCAGTTCGCACGAGCAACGGCTCTATGTCCTCTCTCCCATCCTACCAAGGACTTACGTGTCAAGCCCCTGGCCCCATGAATGGACTGGCATATACCATACCGCCGTACAATCCATCCTCGATGCCACTGCAAACCTCCGCCCCTTCAAATGTTCAGTGGCGACCCACATTGACGAACACAAACTACCCCTTACCGCCGCCAACCCCACAACTCAAAGAAAACGTCAACGGACACACGACGCCACACGCCAACATCCCCGGCTACCATCCATCCTTGAATCAATATAGCTACTCAACAACCCGTTCCGGCCCGAATGGAACCTCTTTAGAATCGAGACAACAGCCCCAACCGCCACTTCAAACCCCGAAACCAAACTCCTTGTCACCCACTATGGGACCATCCCCCTCAGCACGACCAGCGTGGCTAAAATCACGAGAAGCCCCAAACCTTGCCACTAACCTCCTCACCAACCCCCAAAGTCCAGCGGACGAAACAACCGGAACCACCAATTCCACCTCGGAAAAGGACCCCAGCATCAACGTCCCCGTCCTCAACTTCAACGACACCGACACCGCCAGCAGCAGCCCAAGCGCGCCGGCGAATCGAGTACGCAAACGGGTTGTGGAGGGCTCAGAGGACTCAGAGGATGGGAGTGCGGATGGTGGGAGCGGCGCTGAAGGACAGGAGCAGGTGGCGGGAGAGCCACGACAGAAGAGACTGCGGGTTGGGGAGGGGGATATGATGTCGAGTTCTTTGAAACCGGATTGGTCGGCGACACGGATGAGTTTGTTTGGGCGATCGGAGTCGGCGGCGTAGGTGGCAGAGGGGCTTGGTGGGCAGCTTGCGGTATAGGAAAGGGTTATTTGCCATCATGTTTGAAGATTTCACGTTCAGCCGTCTCCTGAGATATACAGGCAAGGATTCACGGAGGGAAAGACCGGTCGCGGCAGGATAAACGGCCGAATCGTTGGTATAAAACCGCCGATCGGCGATCGATTGAGTGAAGTTGTTATCTATACGAAATGAATATCGAGTGGTGTCACGTCATCTTCATGACTTTCTAAGAGGCATCACCGGCCTACCTCCCACTCCCTTCCCTCCTTGCTTCACCTTCATCTTCACGAGATTAACCACCTTACTCGACACCCCCAACCGATTCCGCAGCACCAACGCGCCGGTCAGCAACGCCAAACTTCCCGCCTGATGACCCGCCGCCAACCACGTCGGCACCAAATACAACAACGTCGTGATCCCCAGCGTCACCTGCGCCATCACCAGATGCGTCAGCCCATTCAGTCCCCGATGCACGTCCCGCGGCAACATCGCTCTCAACCGTCCGCCCCGCCGCTTCCCATACACCCACAGTCCAAACACCGCCGCCGTCGTCGTCATCGCCAGGATCCGGTGGTCCAGCTGCACGAGCGACGGGTTCGCCGTCATATTGCGCCACACTAGATCGGACTGGTCTTCCTGCTGCGAATAATGCGGGTCCCACAGCTCAGGGCTCGGCGGCGTAAGCCCGAGTCCCATGTACGGAAACTCGTTGTAGATCAACCCGGCGTCGAGGCCGGCGACCAGCGCGCCGGACATGGCGGTCGTGAAGACCAACGCGGCGACGGCGGCGGTCGCGATTCGGAAGTGGCGGACGACGGGTGAGCGGAGGGTGGCGAGGAGTTTCTGGGAATCCGCGGGGGATTTGAGGAGGCGGTGGGCGCGCAGGATGCGCAGGCCAGAGGTGAGCATGAGGGCGTAGACAACGAAGGCGAGGCCGAGGTGGACGGTGAGGCGATATTGCGAGACGCGGGGGTAGGAGCCCGGGGCGAAGAGGTCGTCTTTCAGGCCGGATTTTACCATCCACCAGCCGACGAAGCCCTGAAGGCCGATGAGGCCGGAGATGGCAGTCAGGCGAAGGGCAGTGCGGGGAGAGATGCGACGGCGGGCGATGAAGTACATGGTCGGGAGGAGGAAGGAGACGCCGATAACGCGACCCCAGAGGCGGTGGCCCCATTCCATCCAGTAGATCTTCTTGAACTCCTCGAGGGACATGTTGGGGTTGAGGCGCTGGAACTCAGGGGAGGAGCGGTATTTGTCGTACTCGGAGGTCCATGCCTCCTGGCTCGTGGGTGGCAGGCTGCCGGTGACCGGACGCCATTCGGTGATACTTAGCCTGAGAAAGTGTTAGTCGATGTCAGGTCGACGGTTGGGGAGGGAAGCATACCCCGATTCCGTCAATCGCGTAAGACCGCCGAAGACGACGATCCCGAAGACACTGGCAGCGCTGCCTATCAACCAATATGCGACCTTCTTGTCGCTGATTTCGGGGTATTTCCTGCTCGACTCCGATGACGATTTCGAGCCTTCGGGGGAGACAGACTTCGAAATCGATGCGGCTTCAGAGATAGAGGCGGCTACAGATGTCCGCCGGGGATAGGAGTGGTTGATATTAAGCCGTCGAACGGCATAGTTTAAAGGAGAGGCATGCCGTGCTTCTTTTCGAAGACATGAAGTGCAGGTAAAAGAAGGTTTGATAATGCGCAGGGCGCTGCTGCGGAACCCCGCGAGCGGACGGACTAGCGACGCCATTGTAGAAATGTCGAGCAACGAATTCCCCCAAATCCTCCTCTAATCAACGAGTTGTTAAAGTCCCATCACCGAGTCCCAATATATTGTCTGAAGGGACACGCTCCTGAAGGGTGAGGTTCTTCATCTGGAGTTGGATGACCATCGAACGATACATGTGGAAGCCTTAGGCACCAACATATAAATTTATAAAGCTGAGTCAGCAGGAATTCAAGCGCTCAATTTGATTCGTGCCTTAGGCAATAAGGCGTATTCACCCCTCCCGCACAAAAAGTTCCTGTTCGAGATAAACACGAGCACAACGATTGATGAGTCGAACCTGTGCCCATTCTCACACTTGAACCTTGCTCCGAGTGACTCAACACACCTTCTGTACGTATTGGCTTCTTATATGTCCTCCCGACCTAACTGATTTTGTTTTTAGCCGGTCAGTTTCTATCACCAATTCCTCCATTGCCCCGCACCAAAATGGCGGGCGAACCGTCCCAAGAAGCCACGCCTGTGGAACAGATGCAAAACCTTCTCCTAGACGAAGTCACCGGGGAGAGGGTCTCCAAGTCGGAACGTATGTTCTTCGCGATCCTCATCGATGTGCGTAGCTGATAATGGGTGGAATAGTCAAGAAGAGGCAGAAGAAGCGCACAATTGATGCGAAGAGGGCCGAGAAGGCAGCGTCCGCTCCCGCTCCCGCGAAGCCGGTCGCGAAGGAAGCTAGTGCGGAGGAGAAGGAGAAGGATCTGACTCCCAATGTACGGTTATTCCTTCTGTGAGAAACAACAGAGTACTTATGACAGCGCAGCAATATTTCGAGATTCGAAGCAGAGCGATCAAGAAGCTGAAGGATACTCGGAACCCTGACCCGTGCGTGGAACGAAATTAGCGTTTAACACCATTGCTGATATATCCAGATACCCCCATAAGTTCCAAGTCAGCACTGACCTCCGCGAATTTTTGAAGAAGTACGACTCACTCGAGACCGGTCAACTAGTCGAAGATGCCGAAATTCGCATCGGAGCTCGGATATACACCAAGCGCTCATCAGGGACCAAGCTTCTGTTCTACGATGTCCGCGCCGAGGGAGCGCGCGTGCAGATCATGTGCCAGAATCAGTACGCCCAGGGCGATGTGTCGTTCGAGAAGCAGCATGAACACCTTCGACGTGGAGATATCATTGGAATCGTCGGGTTCCCAGGACGGACGAACCCCAAGAACCTGAAGGAGGGCAAGAAGGGGGAGCTGAGTATCTTCGCCAAGGAGATAATCCTGCTGACCCCTTGCCTTCACCAACTTCCTGGCGAACATTACGGCTTCAAGGACCAGGAGCAGCGGTTCCGACAACGCCACCTCGACCTCATCATGAACGACAAGACTCGAGATACGTTCGTCACCCGCTCCAGGTTGATCAGCTACATCCGCCGATACTTCGACGATCGGGACTTCATCGAGGTGGAGACTCCCATGATGAACATCATTGCCGGCGGCGCCACGGCGAAGCCGTTCAAGACGCACCACAACGATCTGAACATGGATCTGTTCATGCGTGTTGCGCCCGAATTGTATCTGAAGATGCTGATCGTCGGTGGACTGGAAAGGGTGTACGAAATCGGGCGACAGTTCCGTAACGAGGGAATCGACCTGACGCACAACCCGGAGTTCACGACCTGCGAATTCTATCAGGCGTACGCGGATGTCTATGATATTATGGAGACGACCGAAGATCTGGTGTCCGGCCTTGTCAAGCACCTTACTGGGGGATATCAAACCAAGTTCCACACGCAGCATGGCGAGGTCTACGAGGTGAACTGGGCTCGACCATGGCGAAGAGTCGAAATGATCCCGGCTCTCGAGGAAGCCATCGGCGAGAAGTTCCCTCCAGGCGATCAACTGCACACCCAGGAAACCAACGAATGGATGCGCGGCGTCCTGAAGCGCATGAAAGTCGACTGCTCCCCCCCCCTCACCAACGCCCGCATGCTCGACAAGCTCGTCGGCGAATTCATTGAAGAAACCTGCGTCAACCCCACCTTCATCTTCGGCCACCCGCAGATGATGTCCCCTCTCGCGAAGTACCACCGCACCCAACCCGGCCTTTGCGAGCGCTTCGAGGCCTTCGTCTGCAAGAAGGAGATCATCAATGCGTTCACTGAGCTGAACGACAGCTTTGATCAGCGACTGCGCTTCGAGGAGCAGGCGAATCAGAAGGATCAGGGCGACGATGAGGCGCAGTTGATCGATGAGACTTTCTGTCAGTCGCTGGAGTTCGGACTGCCGCCGACGGGAGGATGGGGCATGGGGATCGATCGCATGGTGATGTTCTTGACGGATAACTACAGCATCAAGGAGGTGTTAGCGTTCCCGATGTTGAAGCCGGAGGATCAGGGGGCGAAGTTGGCGGCGGAAATCACCGGCGTGGAGCCTATGCCTGAAGAGGGGATCCGTAAGTGCTTGCCAGACTCTTAACTTTTCTTTTGCTAACAGCGTCCAGCACACAAATAGATGTCTGTGGAACGCGTCTCACGTTGATATGGAATCAGGCGTGAGAAGCGATGAGTTATCATATGAACATAAATGGTGGTGATCCGCCTTTATCCCTAAATTGTATCGGCTTAGGTGGTATGGGCACCAAAAAGCATCTGAACAAAACGAAGAAACGATACGGTTTTACTAAGAATACCTGTCCTTCTAAGATAGGTCGATTCCTAACTCAAAAGGTAGATTCAATGGTCTCGTGTCGGACTTGAATTCCTTTCCTTTGATATTTTTCATCGTCCCAGAATCGACCGCCGCTAGCCCATCTAGTAAATACGTCAGTAATGCTAACCCTTCCTCTGCAACTGTGGCACGGAACGCCTATGTGTTACGCCAAAGGAGTGGTCTGAGGGGAATAGGCTGGAAATTTTATTGAGATCAGCAATACCTAAGGTTGACGATGTTCCGCTGCACATCCCTTCGCAACAATCAACCTACTTAGCGATATCTTCCTGACATGTAACTGTCCTGTTAACTCTATTAATATTAGGAATTACGGTACTAATGTCTATTTACAGCACTTGCGAAGGTATCTAAGTGTCCGAATGCGCCAATCTATAACAATGGAACCAAAAGAGATTCGTGATTGTGTCCCAAAAGACAATGGGCGCTAGAACTCGCCCAGCGACGTTCCAACCGCAGCTGCCAGCAGCCCAGAAACGCAGCGCGAGAGGTACCGGAAAGCCTCACTTCGTATTGCTTCGATTCCGACATCCGACGCCATCGCGAACCACGCGAATCTTCCAACTCGCCCCGTCGCCCGCATACACCAGCGTATCCTGCTTTCTCCTAATAAAGCCGCCACGGACTCGGCCGGTCACGGTGACATCCTTCGGGAGCGGTGCCGTCCGTATCGGCACCAACTCCGACTCCCGGCCCTCGTCGTCCATGCCGAGACCGCTGTCCATTCTCTTTGCGGATGGATGCTGGGACGGGGTGGGCGGGGTGCTTAGGACCGCTTCGAGGTCATTGGCTTGGGAGATTAGTGCTTTGATGCCGGCGACGGAGGATTCGGCGCGGGAGCGGAGGTGGGCAGCGCAGGGAGGGCCCCAGTACGGGTCGTTGCTGATGGCGGAGACGAGAGGGGGAAGGAGGGGGGTAAAGTTGGGGAGGGTTGGCTTGTCGGGTTGACTGGGGGAGGCGGAGAGGAGACATGCGGTTAGGAGTAGGCGGATGGTGGATTCGGTTGAGAAGGAATAGACGGTGATGCAGGCTGTGGAATCACTTGGCTTAGTGGGGGGTCATTTCAAGTTGCGAGCTTTTCGTACCTGGACAGCTCCACGCCTTCGTTTCCATCCAGTCGAGCTCCTCGTTGACAAATATCCCTAACCAAACAAATGCACTCCTCGCGTCACGACTGTACGCAAGCTCCAAGTCATCCGGCAACGGGCGGCGGCCCTTGTTATTCGCGATATATCGCCGTTGCAGGACGTCTTCCGCATGCCTCTCGGCATGAAGGTATAACTTCGCCAACGGAGCGATCAGAGCATGCAAGATGTCTCGATACAGCAGCCATGTGTGCCGATCCGAACCGCTTCCGCCGTGCGCAGCGCAGAAAGTACAGTTCAACGTCGCGGAGAGATGTTGACGGAGGATCTGAAAGGTCGCGGAATCGCGCAATTGCTTCTCAAAAGCCGCCGGAAGCACGAACGGCAAAGCATCATGTTGAGCCGATGCGGTCGCCATTGTGAAATCCCGCATTCCGAACCACCTCAGTCCAGACTTCGATCCGATGGCAGCGATTGGGGGTCGTACCGTTTTCGTCGCGAGATGTCGGGGACGGGTCGCATCCCTCGAACAATGGCAGATAAGTAGCGAGTGTTGTCCAAGTCCATCGCCGAGCGTCTTTGACGGCCTTCAGGAGAAAGGATGATCGGGAATCATCAGGAAGCGCGACTCGCGCTGCGCCTACCTACCTCTTATGTCCTGGCTTCCTGGGGCTGGTCGACAGTTGTCAGCAAGTGCTGAAAAGGAGGTAAGGATAAAGGAGGTCGCCGCGACGTTAGTCGGGAGGATCTAGCGCGATCCAGAGCCGTAGCGCTTTTTCTCCATGCGAATTGCGAAGCGCCACGCGAGTCGGCGGTAGGTCCCGTGGGGGAAACTGTTCCATTTTTGTACCCACCGGCCCGTTGGAGGTCGATGCGGATTTAGGGCGGGACCTAGTTGGCGACTAAATGAGATTATGCGAGGCTGGACCGCCAGAGGGCGGAGGCCGAGCTGGATATGATGGATATGGCTGAGTACAGACAGCCAAGTACCTCGTATTCTTGTCATCTCTATCGACCCAGGTCGACTTTGAAGGTTATTTGTGCTTATTGTTACCTTGAAGCTGAAACCTATTCTAAGTGCAGCGGTCTGCAGAAACATCCTGGAGGCTTGGAGCTGGAGTATATATTTGATATTCCTGGTTCAGACTCTGGCAAACTTGCTTTGTCCAAAGATAAGGATACCCGTCAACACAAATGATCTGGTACAAACGAAAGGACCTAAGTCACTTGTACTGGTGATACTACACAACAGTAAACGGTCAACTAGCAGATGATGATTTTGGACACCAAAGTCTGTCCTATTTATTGTTGTCACTAAGCCAAGAAGGTTAGACTATCAATCGTGCTGACGTTAGGCTCGATGCGAGAATGTAACATGAAGCCTGTAGAGTACTAGGGGCGTCCGATGGCCAGCTATTAGGCTTTCCTGCAGTCATCAGGATTATACCTCGGAGAGAGCCCCTCATCGATCTTCCGATCATCCTCGGAGTGCTCCCCAGAGCCTAGCATCCACATTACTCGATCGCTAATCAGAAGGATACCGAACCCGTATGGCGAACTCACCCCCCCGTCGTAATCGCCATCCCAATTTCATGCTCCCGCCCATAACAACAGATCCCCTCCGCCGCCATCCCCACATGCCCAACCAATATCCCCGCCACCCGATCCCGCGTCTCCCTCGCCGACGGCCGCTCCTCCGGCAACGGCGAGACCATCCTCCGACATAGTCGCAGCAGCGCAGGCACTGCGCGAAACGCGCGGTGTTCCCGCGTTGCTGCCACCCCCTCCAAGTGATCCATCCAGGTGAGCAGCTTCGGCACGTTCGCGTGGAACGACGCGTCGACGCGGCTGGGCCCCTTGGATTTCGGGCGGTCGGCGTCGAGTTTGGTGGCGCGGTGTTTGAGGAAGTCGGCGGGGCGTTGCTTGAGGAGGAAGGAGAGGAGGTCGAGGAAGAGGCAGCCGAGGGAGAAGATGTCGGAGTGGGGGGTGGGGATGGGGGGGTCGACAACGGGTTGGAGAGAGGAGGTGCGGGGGGTGCGGAAGTAGGTGAGGGCGCTGGTGGACTTGCGGCTAGAGGTGGAGGTGGTGCTGGAGGTGGAGACGGAGGGGCAGCGGTCGGAGGAGCTGGTGCTGGTGTTGGAGGCGCGTTCGAGGCGGAAGGAAGGGGATTTGATGGAGGTGAGGGCGGGCTGGGACTGTCTTCGGGTCGCTACTTGAAGCTCAGGGGCACTGTAGGTGTATTCTTCCTCGCGGTTCGCTTTCTTATCGCGCTGAAAGGTCCTTAGGCAGCCAATATCGCTGAATGCGATCGAGTTCTTGGAGTCGATGACGACGTTGCTCGGGCGGATGGCAGCATGGCAGAGACCATTCTGATGCATGACGATGAGAGCGTCCGCCAAGCAGTGCATCCAACCCAGCAGCAATCGATGTCGATCCGGCTTTGCCAGCCTCTGGTATTGCGGCGGATTACGGTGTGAGATGAAGGACTGTAGAGTATGCTGACCGCTGAACGTGGTGATCGTGTATCCATCCCCTTGAAAGGTGTAAGACGCATATATTGGCGCGATGTGCGGGTGCACGATCGACCTCGAGGTTCGCACATCTGCGATGAACTCTTCCTCCAACGCAGTGGACGACTGTGGCTCCTTCAAGCTCACTTTTCGTCGCACGAAAACTTCATGTGGCCGCTTCGGGAAATGCACTCGGTACCAGTCCTGCAATGCCACAGCTGGGGGAAGTCGATGGACATACTCGATGGGAACAAACTCGTTGTGCGCGTAGTCGATATGCGAGCCTTCTTTGAGCTCCCGCAACAAGAAAGTGAATTGGGTGTTGTAAAAACGCCGGAACAAGGCATGATCAGGTTTCACCGACATCTTCAATTGGGGTACGGTATCCTCAGGAATCGGCAGGTCATCATCGTCAAACGAATCATCCACGATGGCAAAGATCCGATCCGGAATTCCCAGGTCCTCCAAGATCATGAACCACCGTCGCGCCTTCTTGAGGATCCAGTCGAGGTAACAGTCGTTCGTCAGGCTGTCGCCGAACGCGAGCGGACGACGCAGCAGAACGCGTTGGTCTGGTCGCACCCGCGATAGGATCAACTCCGGCGTCACCTTCGAGTCGATCCGTTCGTCGGTCCACCACAGCTGCTGGAGGGGCGCGTGAGGCGTGACGAGGGAGTGCCCGGCATAACCGAAGATGAAGGCGTTCAGCGCGATGGTGTTGGGCGTGACGACGCTTGATATAGTTCGGGGAACCATTGTCCCCGGCCGGTGGAGGGAGGAATGGGGAAAATTGGGTCGTGCTTCAAGAGGAAAGGATTCTGGATCATCTCCAGCATTTGAGGAGTGAGAGGAGCCAGTGCCCCCATCGCTACACAGCGTTATTCACTCGTACCAAGAAGGCAAGGGAGTGCGACGGCCTGGGCACAAATACTGGACATTTGCAAATTGCCTGGGTAGGGTGAAGGCAGGATGCGCATGCAGCAACGCGGTGCTACGTGGAAGAAATGACTGAACCAATATACATAACCGTTGTATGCAGTGCCATGTGGATACAACCGATTGTGCGGAGGTTTCTTTGACAGTTCCGAAGCTAGCGAAGATTCGCCCAGTGGCATCGACATGCATTGCCTTCACCCTGCCGGAGATTAAAATAAGACAGAGCTGAGATCAATACTGCTGGATCTTGATATGTCGTGCATTGAGGCGGCGCCAGGGCACACGTTCTTCCGATCTAGAAACCGTTGTGGGACCAAACTTAGAACGACACAACGTGCAGAAGCAAGGCGACAAGTTCATCGACTCGTGGACCCCCGGTACCCTTCGTTCCAATCTGGTTCCTTGCAGGCGTGGAGGTTGTGTCCAACGGTGCTAAGCGAATGGGGTCGTAGGATGTCCACCGATGGCGCGAAGTACGGTGAGACGCAATATTGACAGGTCTAGCAAAAGGTGTCGAATCGGGGTCCAGAAAGCGGGATGGGTCCAACGCCAGCGATTGGTACGGTCAGGTTACACAAAATCCAACGCTGCACAACACCACGTCAACACCGCCATATCGATGCGGGGAACCACTGACCGAAAAGGACGCATAACTCCCCTACGCCCACATCCCCAACGACCACTTTCCCCTCTCCCCCGCCGCCCCGATCCCAGGCCCAAAGCTTTTTCTTGTAGGTCCCCCATCGGCGTCCTTGTCCTTCGCGTAGCCCGCCAGCCCTTCCTTGAGGAACCGGTCCCTGTCGACCTCGACGACGCCTTTGACGCGCAGGAACGCAAGGAGGCTAGCGCCGCTCCAGGCGCCTTGCGTCTCGACGAGGCGAAGCATCCCTTGGATCGGGGCGGTCGCGGCGCGGCGATTTTGGATGGATAAGGCGATGGGGTCGGGGTCGGGGGTGCGGTGGGCGGGAGGGATGTATTCTTCTTCTGAAGCAGAGTCGTTGTCTGTCGGAGTTGGTTTCGTGGCACCCGGGGACGGCGTGGGATTTTTGTTCGTAGTTCTTGGCCGACGAGGTCTCCCTTTGCCATAGTCGCCCACGGGGTCCCATCCACGCGTCTGAATCAAATATTCCAGCTCTTGCTTGATCCTTCGCTTCAATCCAGGGACGTTTGCGATACCGCCGGTGACAATGATCCGAGACATGCATATCTTGCGCACATCAATCGGCAGGGCTAGCAAGGAGCGGAATATTGCTAACTGGATGGATTGTTCGTGGTCATCAAGGTCTTTGGTAGCAGAGCCATGAGCAAACAGTGCCGATTCTATTGCAGCTGCAATGTCTTGAAAAGGTATTTGAAGGGTGACTGGCGGATCCGTCGTCGTGATTTCAATGTCGCTCCGGGGAAGGTCCGTTTCGTCATTTGAAAGATTGGCTTTGGAAGCGCTTCGAGCGTCAGCCAGCTGTCGACACCAACCGAGCCGGTATAGGACTTCTTCCGCCTCATTGAGACCCAATGTAGGACACTTCCCCGACTCCGATTGACCGTCCGCGAACCGCTTCGACACCTGCTCGTTCAACAACTTCGCCAACTCCCGCAACACTCTCTTCCCGGCTCGCACGCTCCGTGAATGTGTAATCTCTCGGTACTCCGCCACCGACGTGATGCGCGTCTCCGCCCAACCCACGTCCACTACCAGACAAGACCGCACCCCTGCCCCGATCGCCGTCGCGATCGAGGAGGAAATAATACTGATGCTCGGAACTTGGATCGAGCTGAATAGCGTGGACAACACCACCGAGAGGAGCGGCCGGGGGAAGACCGAAGGGAGAACCACCGTCATCTTCCTCGGAAGCAGGTCCAACATCAAATTCGTCCTCTCAGCCAAGCGTACCGCGCGCTCGATCTTATCCCGCACCAGATCGAGGTCCAACTCTCTCGTATCCATATCCCACAGCTCATACTCGTTCCCCCACCCCTGCGCCTCCAGTGAAACAGGCCCATCCTCCCGATACCCCGGCAGCCACGGCCGGAAGTCCCCAACGCGCCGCTCATCTTCGGGGCCGAACGTCATGGCGACCCGATGCGCATGCTCGCCACCGAAGCCGACCCGCAAGTAGCGGCTTCCGAATTCCAGGACGAGGAAGTTCTCGTCCCGGTGCATGAGCGAGCTGGGGGAGCCGTAGAGGGAGGCGAGAGAGCGGCTGTAGGCGCCGGCGATGGGGGTGTGGGGAGAGTTGGGGGAGGACAAGGCTGAGGCGGTGATTTGGGAGGGAGAGGGCCGGGCACGCATGGAGGAGGGCTTGCGGAGGGTTTCTGATGAAGAAGCCATGATTTTGCGAGGTGAATTTGCTCAATCGGGACTTGGATGGGTGTTGGGGGCAGGCTGGCTCATATATCGGGCTTTGTTCTTAGGGATTCGTCACGCATATGAAGAATTGCCAGGTAACCGCCAAGACTTTGAGCGCGACTGAACTGAAAAATGGTCGAACAAATGTAATATCCGCATAAACGCTCAATAAGACTCCAGGGGCAATTTGTGGAATGGTAAGAAGTGCTCAACAGCACATGATTAGGCGAGGAGAAGATGGGTATACGATCGCAAATCCGAGCTCACTCAATCTTAAGGATTATCACAGCAAATGGTCCCAACACCTTCATGGGAGTTTTCATGTCGCGGAGTAAAGGAGGTTGTGATGTTTATCCTGGACAGCTCGTGGTGGTCTTATTGGGAACCGTTTGATGGGGGATGTCTGTGTAATTATATGTCTGTGTCGAAATTGAGGCATTAAGGCAAGAAGTTTGCATGTGGGGTGGTTCTCTAATTATCGGATTCAGGAGTTAAGTTGTTCACGATTGTTTTGTTCTCCGAGTCTCTCTCCAAAGAAGTTCCGTATATTCAAATGCTACAGATGATAGGACGTAATGGGTATACATGCTCGGATCATACTTGATATGTCCCTTGAAATTGCGAAACTTATGAGGAGTGATAGGTAAAACGTACCTGAAGCAGCGGGATACATCCGTATCAGTAGCAGAACTGGAGTGAATGGTGGAAATCAACTGCATTATCATCTGGAACTTCTCGTTGGCGGGTGAAGGAACTGGACGAGGAACTGGATTCAAGTTTCACTGGATTCCATCGCAGGTGAAGCGTCTTGAAAGTGGAGGAGGAAAGGAAAGTGACTCTCACTTGCTCTTCTCCAGGATCGATATTCCATCCCACATCTTCCACTCTTCATCTTCTTCCACTCTCTTGCCCACACCAATTTTGGGACTGACCTTGAATTCGGAGACCCCCTAATATCCCACCACCTTTTCCGTTGTCTATACATGCTCTTTGTTAATTGCTATACCCTCGATAATTCCCTGACCCTTTTTACCGCCGACCACTCCTCTGCCACCCACCACTTGGAGAGATCGCCTGATTGGCCAGCTTCCGCGGCTACCCAACTTCGACACCTTCGAATCGAATCGCTCTCCCAACCACGCAACACGGTCTTGCACCGCTGCCTGTCTCAGGCGTCGTTCTACCCAATTTCTCCTGACCGTCAAGGCGTGGCCAAACCCTCTTCCTTTCTCGCCGCTCATCCCGTCCGTCCGCCGCCATCGTTCCCTCTTCCATCCGACCCGATCCATCGTAACTCGACATCGGGTGACCCCCGAAATCCGCCAGCATGTCTGCCGACCAATTCAAGACGCGGACGATGAAGAGGAAGAATGTGAAGGGCCTGGCTCTATCGTCCACTCCGCGTCCGCCGGTTACTGCTACCGGCGACTCACAGGTCGCTGGCGCCAGTGGCAATTCTCGCTCAGATCGCGGCGATACGTTGGAGATTGGCGTGGAGTTCCGGCTGGATCTTCGGGCGGAAGATCTCGTCGTCCTGAAAGAGCTGGGTTCGGGCAATGGTGGGACCGTCAGTAAGGTCCAGCATGCTGCCACCAGGGTGATCATGGCCCGCAAGGTAAGCCCTTCTTAATCCTCCGGTCCATCGTGACGCTGACATGGTGAACAGATCATCCGTGTGGAAGCCAAGGAGGAAGTGAGGAAGCGCATCGTTCGCGAACTCCAGATCATGCACGAATGCAATTCTCCCTACATCGTCTCGTTCTACGGTGCCTTCATGAGCGAGACAGGCGACGTCATCATGTGTATGGAGTATATGGACTGCGGGTAAGTATAGCTACACACTTCAACTCGAAGCACCCATGACTCTGACACATCTGTAGATCCCTCGATTCCATTTCTCGCAACTTCGGTCCTGTCCGAGTCGATGTCCTTGGCAAGATTGCCGAGGCCGTGCTCGGTGGACTCAGCTACCTCTACCGCACCCACCGTATCATGCACCGCGACATCAAACCTTCCAACGTCGTCGTGAACTCACGCGGTGGAATCAAGGTGTGCGACTTCGGCGTCTCCTCGGAACTGGAGGGCTCGATCGCCGAAACTTTCGTCGGCACCGGCACCTACATGGCCCCCGAGCGCATCCAGGGCTCCCCGTACACCGTCAAGAGCGACGTCTGGAGCGTCGGCCTCACGCTCATGGAGCTGGCGATCGGCCGGTTCCCGTTCCAAACCGACCCCGCGGATGGTGGACCGCAGGGAATCCTCGACCTGCTCCAGCAGATCGTCCTTGAACCTGCGCCGAAGCTTCCGAAGTCCGATGCGTTCCCACAGATCCTCGAGGACATGATTTCCAAGTGTCTGCTAAAGGATCCGGCTCACCGACCCACGCCGCAGGAACTCTTCGTAAGTCTACATCCCTCCGTGACTTTGTGGTGGAAACCCTTACTAACAGCCATTCAGGAAGCCGATCCCTTCCTCCTCGCCGCCAAACGCACCCCCGTCGACCTCGAAGCCTGGGCCATCAGCATGATGGAACGCCACAACCGCAAATCCCACCTCATGCTCGGCCAACCCGCCTCCAACGCCACCAAAGCCCACATGCTCCGCTCCATCCCCGACACCACCGTCACCTCCTCCCTCCCCTACGCCCAACCCCCTTCCTCCCTCCCTACCGACTCCCCCAGCTCCGGCTCCACCTCCACCTCCGGCACCGCGCCTCCCGTCCCCCTCGGCCACCCCATGTCCGCTACCGACGCATACATGGATGTCGACGTGCACATGAGCAACCTCTCCATCGACGCCCCGCGGATGGCCTCCTCCGCCCGCGACCCCCCGATGTCCCGCGAATTCCAGCACCGCCCCGCCGATCGCCAATATCCCGCTGACCGCCAATACCCTGCCGATCGTCAATATCCCGCCCGCACCAGCAGCGCCAACAGCTTCGGAAGCATGTCAGCCGGCATGGGCGGCGTGTCGAACCACGGGAAGCTCGCTGAGCGAGGCCCGTCGACGGGCGGACTTCCCGGGCGCGACGTGAGGAAGCTGGGTCTCTGATTGAAGTTCGGGGGGTTTGCGGTTTGTCGACCCCAGCCGGTTATTGATGGATCGCGACGGTGTCCTACCTACGTCCCGTTGTCTTGCGCCGGAGTTTCTCGGACAGCTTTCACGATGGAATTGGCGCGTGGATGGATTTGCCAGGGAGCGGCATTGATGGATGATACGCACTCGTACGCTCTGCTTCACGCTGCATGGATTGTCGACTGTTGTCTTCCCTTGACGAGGCTTTTCGGCCGTAGAGCATTGGTGGCATATTGATGGAGTAATGCAGGCGTTTTCGGGGGTTGCTAGTTGCTATACGCTGTTGGGCGACGGCGGACTGGATTGTCGTTACGTGCAAAGTTTAGCGGTTAATTCGGCTCTTGAGCGAAATACGATTCAGAAATCAAAATACATCATGCGGGATGTGGGATATGAGATATGGGATGATGTGGTTAGAGTGGTGGCTGGATGCTTTAAAGACCGTGTACCGTATCTGGATTTCAAATCGAGTCTTCAGTCTTGTCCATACCTTAGTTTCTATTTCCTTTCATCACTCAACTTTCATGACGATGCATCTGTAGGTCCATGAGGGATTATCGACTACAGTATCGTGGCGTGGTTGCGTCACCGGGACTAGACTAAGGTACCAAGTCGCCCTCCTCGGCTGGAAGCTTGAAATTGGCGCTTCAGCTGCTCAGCAGACCACCGCCACCAACACCACCAATGCCATCACTTCATCCCATCCCACAGCTTGCATTCCCTCCTGACTTGTACATACGTACCTTGACTTGCATTTTCGTGCCGATTCTAGATTCCAGATTCCAGATCCCAGAACTTCGAATTCCCTCGTCCTACCGTTCCATTATCGTTCAACCATCTCTCCTATTGTTCATCCCTCTTTTGTGTGGTATATCTCATCTTCATTCGTCCATTGCAGGCATCCCCTCTCCTATCTAGTCCTCCGTGTACAATCAATCTCTCAATAACAACCACTGTCCCGTTTCCTATCCTACGTTCTCTCGACTTCGGTTATCTTCCCCGGATCACCGTGTGCGACACCGACTCATATCCACCCACCCCGTCAATCTCGGCGCCGCTCCCCGCATCCAGCGGAGCGCTCCGGATTGTCCACCCTCCTTTCAGATGAACCCGTCCGACGCTCCGGCGACCACCACCACGTCGTTTGATGCCGGATTGGCCTACCTGGACGAAGACAGCAACCGTCCTCCCGCAACCGAACGCGTGGAAGATAGCACGGCGAGTCGCGGACCTGAAGACGAGAGCACTAGCGCTCATCTAGATCGTCCGACAGGGAGAAAGCCGGCGCCGCTGAAGAAGAAGAAGCTAGCTATGGAGGATAAGAAAGAGGACAAGAAAGAGGGATCGCCTCCATCAGACACGCAATTCGACGCCAAACCGTCCGCCAGTCTCCCCATCCAGCCGCGCCCTTTAGCAGCATCCGCATCACCACCGCAATCCCCTCCCGACGACCGAATCGTCCCCGGATCACCGCACAGCACATCCAACGCCTTCGGCCCCTCCTCCCCCCGCCACCGCCTCCGCTCCACCTCTCCCCGCGTCCACTCCCCCGCGTCCTCCCAGATCTTCGAACGCAACGTCCAAGAGAGCGTCGACCCGGAAGACATGCCGCGCGCGATCCCCTCGCACATCCAGACTGAAGACCACATCCCCCCCGTGCTCGAGGCGTCCTCGCTCGCCATTACCGACGACCACCTGAACCCCGACGAGGTTGAGATCGTGATGCACTCCGCCCACCAACCCGCCGCCGCCTCCGTCGCTGCTGGCACCGACAGCCTCCACTCCGCTCTCTCCGCCTCCCTCCACTCCGCCACCCACTCCCCCCTCCCCGACGACGCCCCATCCCTCGACTCCCTCCCCCCCACCTCCCCCTCCCCCGACTCCTCCGACGCCTCCCCCCTCGACGCCGCTGACCCCCGTCGCCTCTCCTTCATCTCCTTCGCCGACCTCCTCCAAGCCGAACACATCGAGACCGCCTCCTCCGCCAGCCCCAACCGCGAATCCCTCTTCCTCCCCCTCCACGCCTCCCCCCTCCCCAACCGCTCCCCGTCCCCCGTCCCCCGATCCCGCACCTCCCTCTCCTCCGCCCCCCCCGCCTCACCCCCCACCTCTGGCGCCGCCAGTGTCAAGGGGCTCGAGATCTCCGGGGCGCGCTCGCCGCCGAGGCCGTTGGTGCTGGGGTCGCCCGGGCAGAGCGCCGCGGGGGGGGCGCAGAGTCCGCCGCTGTCCGGGGATTTGATGGTCGAGACGATGAGTCAGGCGTTGAGGCGGACGGGAAGTGGGGATTTGAGGGATGGGGGGATGGGGGGATTGGGGGGAAGGAGCGCGCCGGTGAGTGCGGTGACGTTGGAGGATGCGGGGGCGGATGATCGGTTGTTTAGGTAGGGGGGATCGTGGGTGTATAGGGAATTGGTTACGAGATGGGGTTCGGACGGAGGCGATTTTACTCGAGCTCATTTTTGACGCGGACAGCGTCCATTCCTTCTGACGAAGGCGTTTCGAGGGCAGGCGTCACTGGATACGGCCACGCTGGCATATTACCTATTTTTTTGGATTTCTTCTTCAAGTCACCAGGCGTTCTTGGATATGCGACAGTTATCGTCACTCCGAACGAGAGCTTTAGTCTATGAACGCCCATTCCTATCCCCCGTAGTACATCTGTGTTTTCCATGCTACCTTTGCGTTTCGTGATAGCACCGCACTAGCTTTCGCCCACATCAGGATATCGTACATCTCCTTACTCCTGAAAAGCCACTAGCCACGGATTTCAACGATACCAAGGCCACTCCCCCTGACAGAAAATCCGAACCCCTTGAAGTCCCTTGCAACAGCGACACCACCGCAAACAAAGATGTCATGCTCCTCGCACTCCATCGCAAACCCGATCGTTAGGCCCGCATGGATTCTATCTGCAGCCCGCATGGATCCTCTCTGCAGCCCCCAACCGCTGTATCCATTATCCCACGACGTGCACCTCCACGCACCAGTCCCTGCCGTGCGCAGCCATGGATGCTCCGTACCTGCATGGATTCCCACCACTCGTGTACCCTTGGCATTACTTATGGTGGTCGACGCACATAGGTGATAGTCTGATAGAGGACGGAGGACAGGTCACATCGATGCGCCGAGAGAGACAGACATGGATATCTGGAATTCTGGAGGCCTGGTGTGACGCGTTGCCGCGGCGGTCCACCGTCTCGGCTGCATCTGCCAGGAACCGGACCGATGCCGACGGACGCGGGAGTCTCAAGTTGCCGTGTTCGGTGCCGCGGAGCCTAGGAGATTTCCCATCGGCAATACAGGAGTCAGCGATACGGTTTCATGATTCCCCCCCAAATCTACGGACGTTACGATAATAGGAGCGCCCAGCGTTCAGCGTTCATCGTTCTAGAATCGAAACCATCTCAGAGCCGAGAAAAGGGACAACTCATCCAAGCTGGTGTTACACCGTTATTAATAGTCCATGCTACAATGATTGAAAACGCGGTTGATGTTTCAGTTTTGAACGGTTATCTCCGCTCCCACTTATTCTTGAGATGATGTATGGACATCAGGGGTATGGACTGTGGACAGGAATTACCTAGCTGACGATCAGATGGGGTGGTAATTAGGGTCTAGGAGAGGAAATGAGCAATCATATGTTGGTCGTGTAACTAAAATTTGATGAATGCTTATTGCTTTCTCATTTCTGGCGCCGTTCGATCATCGGTATTTGGTGTATACCATTCTGGTCGTGATGCTGCATCCAACAGACACGACAACCATGATATATCTGTCGCCAGTGACCAGTCACCACTCACCAGCTAGCCATCCATCCGCCATCTCAATCGAATATCCTGATTTCAGGATCTTCAGCTCATCTCGATTCTAGCCCTATTATGGACCCCCATCCCATTTCCTCTGGGTCGCTTAGTCGCATCTTCATTTCGGGGATCCATCCGTGCGCTCTGCCTTGTGCGCCGGTGCCGTCGTGCGACTTGTCAATTGTCATCAGATTCAGGGACGCAGGCGAGTCATCTAAGCTTGTGCGTACCTGGCGTTTGAATTCTGGATCCAGGATTCGCATGGGAGGCAGGGAGCGAGGTGGATTGGAATGAGTTGCCGGATCGCGTCTTGGACTTTGGAGGTCAAGAGGCGCGTAATAGTGGATGCTTACTGCTAAAATCTCACCAGTTACCACCACGTGAAATTCACAACGAGTCAACTCATCTTGGAACATGGCAGCAGGGGAGCCTGGACTGGATATCAAGATGATTAATGGTTAATGTGTACAGATGGTTGCGCCCTGTGCGGGAAAGGAACGGGCCTTCCAGAGCTCAAGACCGGGTCGGCTGAATCTCTCGATAGTCTTGAATAACGATGAATCGGACGAATTGCCAAAGACAGACTCGACATGTATCGGGATTCGGTAGATAGCAACATGCGCCCTCCAGCCTTACTATGTAGTATGTACATCTCATTTGCTTTGGTCTTTCCATGTGGACATCGTCGGGAGTCCCGACCATCGGTAGCCATAAGCCAAGGCATTGTCCGTGCGAAGCTGTGAATTGGTCTCATGGTCTGGGTGACGAGTTGCACGTATCGAATAATTAGCACATCGGGATTCAGTTGTTTCGCTTCGACCCGCCGAGTTCGAGATTAAGGCTTGTGACGGCATCGGGATCGAATGGTGTTGGGTCCTAGATATTTTTCATAGAGTGGACAGTTGTACCATAAGCCCATAGCCATAAGGGTAAAGGGAGAGCTGTTGCTTGCGGTGTTACGATGCCGTTCATCCTGTAAACTCCATCTTCGCTCGTTCCATTCACATCGCCATATGCCAACGGATACCTATTGTTTATACCCTATTGTCTATACCTATTATCTATTGTTCAACCTTATTGTATACCACTCTCACCTGCTAGTCTCGGTGTATTTGCTTATTCCTTAGCATCCCTCGATACCCATCATTGCCCATCCTGGTGTTAGCTAAACCTCCCCCTGTTGCTGATCCGTCGTCGTTCGCTTCACCAGACAGTGCGGAGTTGTCCGTCTTAGCTAGCAGTCTAGCACCGAGAACTCCCCTCCCCAACTGCCTCACATTCGGTGAGAGGTGCTCGAAAAGTGCATCGATCACTTCCGATGACGGCCTGCCTTAACCTCCACCAATCGCCCTTTTCGAACCTAAACCCTCCATGTCCCTCGACATACATATCCTCGACATACACATGATCGATGCGCGCTGACCGTCGGCTGCTCCAACTCTCCCAAACTCCTCCCAACGCCCCCGGACGAACGCCGTATATATAGACCGAAGCTACCTGGAGTAAGGTGGATGCTTTCACCGGGACCTGGGCTGTTGGTGTGACGGAGAAGGTTGTTTCCGATTCATCTTCGCGGAGGTTCTAGTACGGGGAGTGGACAATTCGATGATGCGCGAGATGGATACGAATCGCTCGCTGCGACGTCGCAACGACCAGCGCCGACGGGAATTATCTCCCGTCTCGTCCTCCTTCGCCACCGACCGACCGCGGATCGATGAGCGTGAACTGCGAAATATCCCCGCATTGACAGACCGGTCGGTGTCGGGGTCCAGTTCCCTCTACTCGAACCGCAATCCCATGGGATCCACCATCCGCACTGTGACACCGGACTCCATTCCAGAAGGCCACACTTCCGTCACCACGCCAGTCAACGAAGATGACCCGGACTTCCTTTCTTCCGCGCCCGCATCGCCGCAAATCACCCCGAGAAACCCCTTCGATCTTGACCGCCAAGACCCATCCACCATACGGGAAACTCTACCACCACTTCCACCGCGTCCTTTGCTATCCAGGCCGGGTTCGAGCGATCGAATACCCTCCCTTCGCAACGTGAGGGAACTTCGGGCGTCTGGAGACTCTCATTCACAAAACCGTCCGCGCACCCGCACCCTGGACGAGGTGCGGGAGTCGAGCCCCTCGACGCGGTTAATCAAGGGACGGGGCCGGATTGGTTCGGTGCATTCGAGCAGTCCTACGCGGCAGTATCAAACCTTAGAGGAGACAGTCATGTCGATTGGACATCCGTCTACCGTCCCGGCATTCGCGCTCCAGAACCGGTCGGTAAGCAATCGGAACCGTTTGGTCAAAGCGCCACCAAGGACAGCGGATAGCTTCAATTCCAACTCCATCGACCCCGTGAACATCGGGCAACCGGAGAGCTTCCCAACGCCAGTCCAAGCGACCAACGCGCGGAGGATCCTCGAACTCATGCGATCGTCGTGCGGCAGAATGGAAGGAAGGCTCGCGTTCCGGAGAGGGAACGTCGACCAGTGGACATTGGCGTACTGTAGCGTGAACGAAGAGGCCGGGAGCTTGGTGTATGAGATATACAGCAACAAGAACGACATGAACCCAAAGACCTTGATCCCCGACCTTCGAAGCTGTCAGATCCGCACCGGCTTCGATGGCGAAGGTCGCATGCCGTACTTGGATGTGTGTCCGCACTGCTCCAACCTCGAAGTCCACCTTCGCCCGCACACCCAGGATGAATTCGACTCCTGGTTCGCCGCCCTACTCTGCTGGCAACCCATCCGCCCCAAAGGCCTCCAGAATCGCATGACGAAGCCCCAATCGCCGGTGATCAGCGAACGTCGCCTCGCGGACTCCCGCCGCCATTCCGAAGTCTCGTTGCTCAAGGAGGCGCCCATCATCAAGGTCGGCAAAATGACGTTTTGGGACACCAGCGTTTCGCACAGCAACACAAGTGGCACCCCACGTGGCGTGCGGCCGCAGGTGCAGCGGATGGAGAGCTTCGCGTCGAAGCGGTGGCGACGCGTATCTTGCACGTTGCGCGAGAACGGTGAGCTCAAGCTCTATTCCGAGTCGGACGTGACGCTGGTGTCGGTGGTACAATTGTCCCACCTGTCCCGATGCGCCGTGCAGCGATTGGACCCGTCTGTGCTGGATGAAGAGTTTTGCATCGCCATCTTCCCGCAGTACTCCATGACCTCGACGCACATTTCTCTAGTTCGCCCCATCGTCCTTTCTCTCGACACCCGCGTGCAGTACGAAGTGTGGGTCGTCTTATTACGCGCATTTACTATTCCGCAATTATACGGGCCGAAACAACAATCCATCCAGGACGAGAGGTCGTCGCCTCAGCCTTCGCAAGGCCTCTTTAGTCCTACGACCGCAGACATGTTCCGTATGGAGCGCTCTTTGAACGTACGGATCATGGAAGCACGCATTATAGATCACTCTTCCTCGAAGGCTCCGGAATCGAGTCATAATGGGAAATCCCCCGACCCAGGAAGCCCGTCTATTGCGCACTACGCCGAAATGCAGCTGGATGGCGAGACACGAGCGCGCACTATGGCCAAGGACGGGAACAATCCGTTCTGGCGAGAAGAGTTCGACTTCCATGACCTCCCCGACGTCACGTCCATCGCTACGATCCTCGTGAAAAAGAAAATCCCGCAACATCTGCAGAAGGAGAAGAATAATAAAGACGAAACGAGACGCATCTTTGACGTGCTAAGTTCCTCAGCCAACCATACTTCCAACGGCGGCTACTCCGACGTCAACTTCGACGCGACGGTGGGAAAGGTGGATATTGTGCTCGACGACGTTGACCCCGCCAAGGAGGGAGAAAAGTGGTGGCCCCTCGTCAACAGCTACGGCGCCCGCGTCGGCGAAGCGCTTCTGCGCCTCGAGGCGGACGAGTGTGTCATCCTCATGGCACGCGACTACCAGCCGCTATCGGAACTACTCCACCGCTTCTCCAGCGGGCTCACGCTACAGATCGCGCACATGGTCCCGGGCGACCTACGACGGTTGAGCGATTGCCTGCTCAACATCTTCCAGGTCAGCGGCACGGCAGGTGACTGGATCATGGCGCTCGTAGAGGAAGAGGTTGACGGCACGGTGAAGGAGACCCCCGTGTCGCGGTTGCGGTTCGCGCGGCGGATGGGGTCCAACGAGTCGTCGGAGAACTTCGGCAGCACGAGCGAGCGTGAGCAGCTGGTGCGCGACCTGGGGAAGAACGCGACGCTGGAGGCGAACCTCCTGTTCCGCGGCAACACCCTGCTAACGAAGAGCTTGGACACACATATGAAGCGGCTGGGGAAGGAGTATCTGGACGAGATCCTCGGGGAGAAGTTGACGGAGATCGCGGGGCAGAATCCAGACTGCGAAGTGGATCCGAATCGGGTGGCGTCGGGAGCGAGCCTCGATCGGAATTGGAAGCGGTTGATCAAGTACACGGAGGAGATCTGGTTTTGTATTTTCCATTCGGTCACGCGGTGCCCGCCGGAGTTGCGGCTGATCTTCCGCCATATTCGAGCGTGCGCGGAAGATCGGTATGGGGACTTCTTGCGGTCGGTCAAGTACAGCAGCGTGAGCGGCTTCCTGTTCCTCCGGTTCTTTGTGCCGGCAGTGCTCAACCCCAAGCTGTTTGGGCTACTGAAAGGTGTGTCTCGTATCCCAACCGCCCTATCATGTGCTGAACTCTACAGATCATCCCCAGACACAAGCCCGCCGCACATTAACCCTCATTGCCAAGTCCCTGCAAGGGCTCGCCAACATGAGCACCTTCGGCTCCAAAGAGCACTGGATGGAGCCCATGAACGTCTTCCTCACCTCGCACCGCCAAGAATTCAAAACTCTCATCGATAACATCTGCAGCATCCCCTCCTCCGCGTCCCCCCTCCCCACCCTCACCCCCTCCTACAGCACCCCCATCCAAATCCTCCAACGCCTCCCCCCCACTTCCCGTGAAGGCTTCCCCTCCCTCCCCTACCTCATCGATCACGCTCGCAACTTCGCCAACCTCGTCGCCCTCTGGCTCGACCGCTCCACGCCCATGGCCAACAACATCCGCCCCTCCGACGGCGACCTCCTTAAGTTCCACCGCCTCTGCGTCGCCATCGCCGCCCGCACCACCGACTGCCTCGCTCGTGCCGAGCGCGCAGACCGCCCGTCTAGCGCCCTCAGCGTCCGCTGGGAGGACCTCATAGATCAGCTGGGTCATGTCGCTGGCATCGAGGCGCAGCAGGGCGCCGATTCGCCGCGTCCTAGCCATGGGCAGCAGCCGTCGCTGAGCGGGTCTGTCGCGAGTACGAATCACACCGAGACCGACGACATGGGGAGCCCGACGGCAATGTGGGCGTCACCGCCAGTAAACGGGTCTGGGCGACGGGACCGCCGCGATCGGAGTAGCAGCGCGAGTGGCGCGCACGGACCGTATGCGCCATCCAGCGCGAGCACAACAGGGCCGGAGTTCACGCCTCCCGGCAGCGCGTCCGGAATGGAAGAGCGGAGCACGGGACGCAGTACAGAAATGGAGTTCAGTGCGGGGAGAGCGCTGGATTATCCGCTGGAAGGACGGCGGGGGAGTAATTTTGCGTTGCATCGGAGTGGACCGAGTAGTACGGTGAGCAGCGACGCGGAGGGGCCGACGGCGTTGCCGCGGTTTGAGCGGCGGGGGAGGGGAGAGAGGGTGCTGAGGGAGGGGGGGGAGGAGAGGAGGGAGAAGGGGTTTAAGCATGGGTTTATGCCGGGGTTTAAGAAGCGGAAGGGATGATTAATGGGGGTGAGCGGTTGATGTGGATGTTCTTGCTGATGTTGTTGATACCAATACCTACCTCTTCATCGGTGGGTAGACGCCGTGTTGGCATGTCATACGTTGGATGCACGGAAGGCTGGATTCCCACGGCCGGATTAGGTGCCTAGATTTCTCATTCTACAATGGCTTGGTTTGCGATCGGCGATGATACCTACCTTACATATAAAGATCGACGCGGGAGATGGCGGTTGATAAGCGTTTGCATAGCATATAAACGGGTACCTCGTATCACCGTTGTTGGCTATGGTGACTGTCACCATGTGAATATCCATTTCGAGTACTCTGTAAACTGTATGGGGGTATCACTAAATGAACACGCACGGTTTTCTCCATGAACACGTTCCCAACCCGGTTTAGTACGGGTCTCCATAGGAGTCCATCAAGATATAGATCATAGGACATGAGATACGCTCAAAGCAAGCAGAAAAACTATTGTATACTGAATCAGAGATTGAGCATCATGAAAAAAGCACCACCTGAGGTCCTCCGTGTCTCCTCGGGCTCGTTTCCAGTCCCCATTCCTGTTCCCCCATAAGGCTGTTGAGGTCGGGCGGCGAGGTCTATATCATCATCAAGATCGATTGGGAGGTCGAGTATGTCGTTAGGGTCTTGATCAGACGATTCGTCAGTTGATAGTTCTTCAATTTTGTCGCTAATCTGTTCGTCTCTAGGACCAACCTATCCCCTCCGCGATAAGGCTCTCGAGCCTCATTTCCTATCTCGTCTTCACCGGCATCCGACGAATATCCGTACGCATCGAGGCCGGGCACTTGGAGACAGAGACGAGCCATTTCAAGGCGCGATTAAGTGACATTTCTACATACAATTGACACCAGACAGATATTGGGAGGTTTGGAGGGGTATGGAGACATGCACTAAACCGGTTTGGGAACGTGTTCATGTATCAATACGGAACGTGTTCATGTATCAATACGGAACGTGTTCATGGAGAGAACTGGGCGTGTTCATTTAGTGTTACCCCTTAAATACATAGAGAAGACTGAGGAGTCCTGATTAGGCCTAGCCCAGGGGTAGAGGGCAGTGAAAGGAATGTTAGGTGGCAGTAGAAACTAACATGGGCATCTTGCGACACATTCCAGCTCTTTCGACCAATTGTAGGATTCCTGCTCTTAAGGATCAAGGTCAATCTATCTACGCTCTTTTGGAATCTAACGGTGTTTTCCCACTGTGTCGCTGCATTCATCACCTGATTGAGCGATACCGCTATTTAACTCACACATATGCCCAGCCAGTTTGATCAGTGCGGCTTTAGAAGGCACTTCGAGGAACACGGATACCGAGTCGAGCTGTACAACGCTATTGCGATAATAGCGCTTAAAGAGACTTGCACGAGCATGGCCTATCACAAAGCTCCTTAGTTATATCTGAACCAGCTACGTTAAGAAATGATGTTAGCGTGGGAAGCCCTAACAACGCTAAGAAAGTACGTGGATGCAGGGAAATTGCTGGCATACTACGTAGGAATGTACACAGGAGTGAGAATGTGCCCTTACAATCAATCGCTTCACTAGCACCTCTACTATAGCTACTCGTGCCAGGCTTCCCCCCCCTCTAGGGTGGGTGCGCCACAGAACAACGCAAACCACAGATCAACGCAAAATCGAGTAAATCAAGCAACAAAACAATCAATTTATTCTACCACGGTTGAGTATCTATAAAATAAGGGATATTTTCTTGATCCCCAGTAGCTGTAGCAGCTGTTTCACCATTTATTTCTCCCCTGCGAGCCTCCTCTGTGAGCTCACGTTGCCTTTTCTTCGTATCGCGCGCCCGGCGTCGCTCACGCTTCTCCCACTCCTCCCTCATTTCCGTAGCCTTCCGCTCGTCAATCCGGCGATTTGCATCCTTAACATAAAGAGGACCTCCTGCATTAACACGTCGACGAGTTGTTTTTCGTTTGCGATTGTGGCTGGCATCTAAATAGCGATCTAAGTCGCTGCCTTGTTGCGCGCCGAGCTCTGCTTGCAGTAAACTGCCATTGAAAATCTTGTTTATCTTTTTATTAAGCGACGGCGAGACTTCGCCAAGGACATCCTCTATATCCGCAAGGTTTTTCTTCACCTTCTCAATACTGTGTCGGAGTTTTTGTACATTCTTTGGCGAGGAAAGTTGGGAGGAAGATATAGAGGGGGTCTTTTCACGTTCGGGTTCGCCGTCCAAAAACTCAAGCACAGGGCCATCATCTGCACATAACTTTTCCAACTCTTTAATAACAAGCTCAGGCTTAATTGGCCATACTCTTCGTCTTGTCCAGCCGGCGCGGAGAACTCGTGGGGTAAAGGCTTTCTCCCTTATTGCAGGTAGAGCCGAAAGGAACTGCCGATGGTTGAAGCTCTCATCACCCAGGCGTGCAGCCTCATTGACAGCCTTTGCATGCCAGTGCTTGTACTGCTGAAAAGGGATTCCATCCAGAGGTTGTAAATGGTGTGTCATGTGTGGTGGAAGGAAGTAAGGAATAATTCGGCGGTCCTCACAGAATTTGAGGAAGTCGTATGTCAGGTGTGAACCATGGTTGTCAAGTAAGAGGAGCCGGTATTCAGAAGATATAGCTGGGCGCGTCTCTATATCGAAATGATGAATCCAATCATATCCTCCTTCATCAGTGATATACCCATTAGGTGTAAGGGTGATCATCCAGTTGTCTGGAAGCCCACAATCCTTATACCAATCCAGATGGTATGAGCCTGCCAGAACAAGAAAGGGGTTAGTTGGTTTGCCTTCAGCAGAGATACATTCAATGACAGTGACCAATTTCCGTGTCATGGCACTTCCGATGTTTGCATTTGCTTCAGGAAAAGCAGTTATAACCTTCTCAACCTTTCCCTGGCCAATCTGGAAGCCTGTCTCATCCATGTTGTAGATGTTGCATGGGCGGATGTGATGGCTTTTGATAGCAATCTCCCAGCGATCATAAAAAGTCTGCACTATCCCAATATCTTCAGCCTGTATACGCTTAGGATCCATTGGACGCTGTTTAATGCGCTTATATTCGGGTGGAAGGCGTTTAAGGAAGCGGTACGTCCACATTTTTGAGACTGTTGGAGGTGGGGTTTCTGGGTTTGCGTGGTTTCGAGAGAGGATGGCATTGGCGCAATTTGTCACCATTTCAGCAGTCGGCGGGCGGCCAGCTTCGTCAAGCTGTTTGATCCAGTGTTTAACTGCATCCTCCTGTGCTTTATCAAGTATTCGGTTGGCAGGCTTTGGAGCTTTCTTCGACGGCTTGCCATTGATACGTGATCGAAGGGCGTAGTAAGGAACGCGATACTCGTTGTGTAACGACGTGATATTTTTATTTTCACCACGTCGGTACTCGGTGACAGCTGCAAGGATTCGACTCTCTTGATCATCTTCCTCAGGAGGCATGTTGGTGTTGAGATAATTAACTATTTGAGTTGAATTTACAGATTTTGCGTTGTTGTGTGGTTTGCGTTGATCTGTGGCGCACCCACCCTGGAGGGGGGGGAAGCCTGGCACGAGTATATAGCCCGAGAGTATCTGTAAAGCTAGCAGATTTACCTAGTCGCGCGCTCTGGTAGTAGAGATTCATATACTAAACCGATTTAACTAGCTAGCTAGATATCTTTTCTAAACAATGGGAATCGTCACTAACAACTTGCGTTGCGTCTCTGCAGTACTCTAACTGCGTTTAGGCAGCGAACTTGCTTAATCATCACCCCCGCGTAATGCAAGTTTATGCAACAGTTGCAGGCTGAGGAATCGATCCACAGTAGCATCTGGTTAGCCGTTAGATTTCGGTCTACTAGTAGTCCAGTAAGCTGTTGAGAAAATCAGATATTAGACCGGCGCCGTCGGTCTAACTATTCCCCCGTGTAGAGCTAACTTAGCGCAAGGTCTCTCTTGTATAGATCTGGTGGATCTGACAGGAGCGAGATTACACCTTACTACACAATGTGGTCCTTTCGACAGCCCGTTTCAACCCTCCTAATATGATCACTGTTGTGCTAACTATTGCACAATTGATAATATGGATGTCTGCTTTATAATTCTTTGATTATGAATTCGAGCGACCAATTCGATTTCGAGGGAACGCCTTGCGCATCTGCGCTTCAGTTTCGCCATTGCCATGGAATATATAAGTATTGCTTGAATCATTCCTCTCTACTTTGCATTCAGTTCATTTTCAAAGTCATTTGCATCTGCCATGGCACCAATTCGTACCGCTATCATTGGCCTCTCCGCCGCACCCACAGGCTCAGCCTGGGCTGCCTTAGCTCATTTTCCGTATCTGTCCCAGTCTCCCGAATATCAGGTTGTTGCGCTTCTTAACAGCAGCAAAGAAGCAGCAGAAACAGCAATCAAGAAGTTCAACTTCCCAGGAGACACGAAGGCTTACGGCACCTCTGAAGAGCTGGCTGCGGACGATGAAGTGGATCTTGTCGTTTGTTGCATCCGTATCGATGAACACTACGCTAGCTAGAAACCTATTTTGGAGAGAGGAAAGGCGTCGGTGTTCTGTGAATGGCCGCTTGGGGCAGACTTGAAGGAGTTTCGTGAGATGACAGATGCCATTGGGGAGACCGGGGTCGGCAATGTTGTTGGATTTCAGGGCGGCTTCACTCCCCTAGTCACTACTCTTAAGGCCCTCATCGCGGATGGGAAGATTGGGAAAGTCCTTTCTAGTACCGTGACGGCCTCTGGCATGCATGGAGGCCCGTCTACCCCGAAGGCTTATGCATTCACCGACGACCGTAAAATTGGAGCAAACACCCTCACAATCGTATTCGGCCATTGTTAGTATTTCAATCATGCAGCCCCGAACTGAGCTACCTACTGACCCTTCACAGTTACCGAGGCCCTCTTCGCCGTTGTTGGGAAATTGGCTTCATTCAACTTGATCCTAGACACTAAGTGGCGAACGGCCACCGTTCTTGATGAGCATAATGACCTTGCAGTTTTCGGGACCCAGGACCGGACTTCTCCCGATGATGTACTCCTGCAGGGGCGCGTCGAATCCGGGGCCCTCCTGTCTGTCCACCTTCGAGGCGGGCCGCCGAGTCCAAGCGAAACGGTCCCCGATACGATCTGGAGAATCTATGGGGAGAAGGGGGAAATCACCATCTCTTCCCCCCAACCCAACATTATTAATACCGTAGAGGGGGTAAGCATTGAGCTCCACGATCATGCGAGTCAAAAGGTGGAGAAGATCGAGATACGGAAAGATAAGCTGGAACACTTGCCAGAGCCCGCTAGGAACATAGGGAGAGTTTATGAGGCGTTTGCGGACAAGACGTGGTACCCAGATTTCCAGCATGCCCTCCGGAGATATAAACTTGTCTATGAGATTTATCGTCGCTTTGACAACGGACAACAGGATACCAAGCCTCATTATGCCTAGTGTTATGGTTCCAGGCCGGTCCCCTGAAACGATAGTCACGTGGCTAGGTTAGCAGTCGACGTCTTCAACATCGTGTACGCATTAGTGTCACAGAATATACACGTCTATTTCGTAGGGAATAGGTGCCTATAGCAAAACAGTGTGGGACCCCGTCTCTGAGGTGAAAAGGGTAGAATTTGAGTAGTTAATTAACTAACTTAGTTAGTGCCAGTTGACACTTGACATGGGCATGGATAGGGGATATCTCAGCCTTAACGCCTTAGTGCCCTTGCATTGCTGCAGCTGGCATCATCTCCGCCCTGAAAGTCACATCGATCATCATCAAATCAGTGGTCAAATCAGAATCAAATCATGTGTAACTCTCGGCAATCAAACTGGTTCTAAATCGATGATGGGGGCTGCGCAATAATGCTTTAGGGGGGATTTCGAATTGAAACCGTCCGAATCCCCAAGTCCAACATCTCACTCTCCCCTCTCTTCCGATTCGACTAACCACGTTCTCCGCCTTCTACTCCGCCAGATCAGCACTGCCTCAGTCCATACCTCCATACTTGACCCCTCCCCGTCCTTCATGAAACGTTTCTGTCCCGTTTGATCCTGAACAGCTTCACTAAACACCCGTTTATGGTTCTCTCCCAGTTCGCGCCTTCATTTCGTCTACTATTCATGCCCCGTCCCTTCGTTTAACTACGCGTTTCGGTGGATCAACCTTCACCATGGACTCTTATACTCCCTACCTCGACCCCTTCACCAACTCTCAGCAGACCTTCCCTCCCTCCGCGACGCCTGCCGACCTCTCCCTCGACTCCTCCGGCTTGAGTTTTGACTTCGAGAGTCAACTCGGCCTCGACAATGAAGACCTGACCCTCCTCCCCTCCATCACTCCCCCTGAGCTCATGTCCGACACCCCCGAACAATCCGACTCCTCCGGCGTGTTTCCACCCCACTTCGGCATGCCCTGGAAGGGTCCGTTAACGTTCGACGACACGTCTCTCGCACAGACGACCGAATTCGACGCCGCCTTCGCACCGAACCAGAGCATGGAAGCGCATTGGGTGTTCCAACAAAATGCATACGGTTACGATGTGGGGAACCTGGGACAGCCCGTCGATCACGGTTTCCCCGCGAGCGTGCTTGAGAGCCAGAAGGCCAGTTCCCCAGACCTGATGTTTCCTCCGCCCCCCGTTCCGAGCTTTCTCCCGTTGCGCACGCGCGGCGGCACGATTTCAGCCAAGACGCAAGAGGTGGACACGCCGGTGAAGGCGTGCAAGGGGTTTCGGATCCCGGCGGAGACGCGCATCGTGCTGGAGCGATACTTTCAATCGCAACCGTATCCGGGGAACGCGCAGTTGGAAGAGCTGGCCTCTTCGACGAACCTGCAGCTCGCGACCATCAAGAATTGGTTCAGCAATACACGCGCTCGGAGATTGAAAGGTACGTGACCATCAGCCAAGACAATGTCTTGCTAACGACTAGCAGGTGAAGCCAACGGTCATGGCGCTCGCGCACCCGCGAAACCGGAGAGCATCAAACTGACCAAGTCCTCACTTGATGCCTTATCTGCCGATCAGCCCGTCGCCAAAGACAGTAACCCTCTAGAACGCTTCTTGGCGACACCGTTAGAAGAAGACAATCGAGCCATCGCGATCATCAAGAATGCCTCCGCCTCTCCATGCCCCACTCCTACCCCGAATCCCATTCATAGATACACGCCGTATGGTCGAATCGAATCGGGTCGGCGAAGTCGAGCGGACTCGGTTTGTTCGGCGGCCAGCTCGGTCGGTTCAGGTGCATCATCCCCCGCACCCAGCGTGTCGGTGGTATCGTCCACCGGTCGAGCATCAAGGCGCGGGCGCCGCAGACACATACAGGCCGGTCCATCGGGCTACGTCCTGGATTCGAAGAAGGTTGTCCAATACGTGAAGAAGTTCTACTGCACGTTCTGCGGACGGGCCTTTTCCAACAAATACGAATGGAATCGGCACGAGGAATCGGTTCACGTCCCTCAGAAGCTGTGGATTTGCTGTCCAAGCAGCATCGCTGAGCAGGAGAGATTGAGTGAATGTCCATTGTGTCCTACGACATCACCATCCAAGGAGCATTTGGCAGCGCACAATTTCTACGAATGCGCCAACAAGCCACAAGAGCAGCGGACGTTCACGCGACGGGACCATCTTATCCAGCATATCCAGCAGTCGCACCGGAAGGAATGCACCAATCGTGATCAACTATTATCCGACATCCGCTCCACCCCCGATGACTGGGTCTTCCCCATCAGCCAAACCCAACTCGGCGACCTCCCCCTCCTCTGCGGCTTCTGCGGCAAAAAATCTGACACCTGGCCCGACCGTGTCGCGCACATCGCCGACCACTTCCGCCAAGGCACCGACCTCTCCGAATGGTGGCTGAAGCGCCAAGCCCACTCCCTCCCCACCACGCACCCCGCCGAGCAACGTCGCTCCCGCGAGCTCACCGCTGCCGACCACTCCCTCTTCGGCCCCGCTGCCGCCCTCCACCCCTGTCGCTGCACCCACTGCCACCGCGCCTTCCCCTCCCTCGACGTCGCCCGCTCCACCCACACCATCTGCGAGTTCTTCTCCTGCTCCCTCCTTCCCGGCATCCGCTCCGCCTTCGACCCCCTCTTCACCTCCCGCTGCTACTACTGCCCCCAGGCCTTCGACAACTCCCCGGACTGGGCCGACCGCCTCATCCACCTCACCCTCATCCACAAGTACCGCGGCTGCGCGCAGGAGCAGTTTTTTAGTCGCGAGGCGTTCGCGCGACATCTGATGGCCGAGCACCGCGGCGTGATGGAGGAGAATCGGCGGGGGGAGCTGCTGAGCGTGACGAGTGAGTGGGTACCGGAGGAGCAGCATTCGCACGGGAGGCCGTCGTCGGTAATGTTGGGGGCTGGGAGGGAGTTCGCGACGAAGAGTCGGTTGCATAAGTTTCAGGATATGTGTCAGCGAGTGGTACGAGCGCATTTCGAGGCCGTGCCGGTTGAGGTTGAGCCGGAGACGAGTCTGCCGAGAGGAAGTGAGTTGGCGGACGCGACAGCGGGGGCGGCGGTGGAGATGGAGATAGAGATGGAGATGGCGGGGTCGGGGTCGTTCGGGGAGGCAGGAATGGGTGATTCGTTTGTGGAGGATCCGTTGCGGTCAACGGTGGACCTGGGGCTTGGTCCGATGGATACAGCGGCGTTCTATACCCAGTCATATTTGTCATAGTACTCGAGACATCTGAGGAATTTAGTGAGGGACTAAGGTTTGGTCGCTGACTTACAGCTATATTACCTCTTTGTATGCTACATCATCGTCCGGTGTTTACCTCGGATCGGTGTAATTTTGTATGACGGCTTCGTTGTTACCTACATGTAGGATGTATTTAAGTCCGCAGCCTGATGGAGAGGACGAGGAGTCTGTCAACCTCGGTGATGATGCGAGTTATAGCCTAATACATTCAAAGCCCTGTCTATAGACAATTCATCACCGCATAGTCATAGATAAATATGGATAGAAAAAAGCTCCATATGGGAAGATATCTCCAATACTAACACCTCTAGTTATAAAAATATACTCCAATTTTAACACTTCCGGTCCTTTACATTGACATCGTCATCTCGAGCATAAAGTCTTAACTGCATCATATTTCAAAGCGCCCCGTCCTCTCCAAGTCCCGATACACTTCCCCAACCATGCTCCCACCTTAACGTTCAACTGCCGTCGAATCATGCTAGGAACATTAGCAACCCATCCCCTCCTACACAACCAGAGACCACTTACCAGCGCCCGCAGTCGTCGCGGCATCCGCACTGCTCTCCGCCGCTTCCGCTTCTTCCAAGCCACTAAGATTGATCCCCACCGCCTTCGCCCACACCGGGTCGATATTCTCCTCCTTGAAATAATACGAGACGTCGGAGCCGGGCACCGTGTCGAGCAGGGAGTAACCCATGCCCAGGAACGCCCAGGGGTTCTTGTTGTAGTATTTGATCTCGAAGTCCTCGTAGCGGGGCTTCGAGATGGTCTCAACTACTGGGGGTTAGCAAGGAGGTTAGAGGAGGGTGGGGCGGACGAACTGTAGTGCAGGGAGGAGCCAGGCCAGATGGCGTTGACGCGGCCAGTGTCGTTGTTCTTGTACCAGGAGCGGCAGGAGTCTTTCCAGACGGTGTGTTTGATCCATTCCTGGGCACGTCAGTCGATCAGTGGCGCGGAGGCCAATGGGGGGTGCGCACCTGTGCGTGCTCATTGAAGAGGTCGCTCATCTCTTGCTTTGGGACCCAGCTCTTGATGTTCTCGTTCTGCATCTTGTGGATGACGTCAACAGTGTAGTTCACCACGTACTGGAGCGGGCCTGCCACACTGCCGTTCTCGACGGGCCATGCTGCTCGGTGGTTAGCGGACGCTCAGTGAGGAAGGATAGTGACTGACTGGGTCCGATGAACATCACCATGTTCGGCATGTCGGAGACCGCGAGCCCCAGGTAGGATTCGGGGACCTTGGCCCACTTGTCGTTCAGAGAGACGCCATTTCGGCCGATGATGGGGAATCGTGGACGATAGGTTACGTCGAAACCGGTGGCGCAGATTATCGTGTCGCACTTCCGCTCTTCTCCATCGGCACCGACCACGCCCTCTTCGGTGATTCTCTCCACGGCCGTGAAGTGGACATCGATGTTCTTCTCCTGGATTGCGAGCATGTAGGGATCGCCGGGGGTGACTCTGCGGCCTGCCACGGAGACTGATCAGCTCTGGGATGGTTCCTCGTCCCGGGTTGACTTACATCCGACTTGGAACTTTGGTGTATATCCTTGCAGCAACCTTTCGTCCTTGATGAACTCCTTCATCCTCTCCCTGAAGAGCGCTTGCCCCAGTTTCTGTCCTTCCGACTCGTGGTAGAAAGTTCCCCACATGCCGTTGATTTGATTCTCAATGTCTTTCGAGTGGGCGACCATGTTTTTCGGGTTGCTTCGGAAATTATCCTGCTCCTCTTTGGTGTATATCTTGTTTTGGCTGTGGCTGTCTGCGAATTGAACGAACCAGACACCTAGGACGATTTAGCAACTCCGTCCTGGTCTATGGGGGGGCAGTACGGACCAGTGCGAACAAAGATATCCATATGATTGACGTGCGGCTGCATATTTGGGACGGTCTGTATTGACGATGCCCCTGAGCCGATGACCGCAACCCTGTCGTTCTTCCACTCCTCTTCTTGATAATCCTTGGGCCACCGTGCGGTATGCACAACCCGACCTTTGAACGACTTGAGACCAGGTAGATCCGGCCATTTGAAATCGTTGAGAATCCCTGATGCGTACAGGAATAGATCGCATGTCTCCTCGAACTCTCGGACTGATCCGTCTGGTGCGGACTGACGCAAAGATATCTTCCATTTGCCTTCATCCTCCAACCACTCTGCGCGTGTCACTAAAGTATTAAAGGTCATGTATTTTCGAAGGCCAAACGCCTCGCAGACTTTGTCTAGGTACGCCCAGATGTCAGCGGAGCGACTGAAGAATCTGGGCCAGTCAGGGTAGAGCGCCCAGTTATACGTGTATGCTGCCGATGGGACGTCGCACGCGGCACCAGGATAACGATTCTCCAGCCATGTTCCTGGTCACCGTAAGTATGTGTGGCTACTACGACTTTCGTCATCCATGGGGTGTCAATGGGATGCGTTACCTCCAATGTCATGGTTTTTGTCGTATATGACCAGGTCCACATTCTCACAGAACTTTTGAATACTCCGCGCCATCATGATGCTGGAGAACCCAGCGCCGATAGTGAGAACCTTCAACTTGCGGTTCTTCGGGTCATTCAACACGATATTCGGAATATCATACCCACCTGCACCGGGCGTGGAATAGTCCACCTTCCCGTCGATGAGGTTGAGATTTGGAGCCATGGCGAACTTGGAGAACGACTTTGAACAGTGAAAAATGTATAACAGAAGATGAAATATTCAAAAAGGACTTTGAAGACTGTAAGATAAACTTATAGAACAGCCAAAATCGGGAGGCGTGCGGCCATTCTACGCCCGGAGTCCCCGATCTTGACTCGATCCCGTTGCGGAGTCCAAGCCATATCGTGTGGACGAACGCCATACCCCGCTATTCCTTCTCGCCTCGGATCTGGCTTAGGTTACAATCTGAAATTAACGTGACGATAGGTTGCAGCGAATACAGTCAAAGAAGAGGGGAATCCTTTCCCAGACAGATGTTCCTTTTGGCCCCTTGGGGCGGTTGAAGCTCTGGTAACATAATTGGATGGGGGTACAGGGTGCCCCCCACTCATAGGGAATGATCAGGTACAGAACACTTCATCTGCACCTATTTCATGTTGTAAGACGAGTGAGGGACTAGTTCCAGTTCTAAGCAGGCGGTGGGAATTATTCATTCTAATCGTGAATCGGGGATCTCTGGAGGACGAACCCCACAGCCCCGCAGTGGGGAGGGAGGATCTGTGGAAGGACTCAATCAACGTATTGACGTATCCGTGGCCCTTGGACCCACACCGAAGGGCCACGGTGTCAGGGCACGAAGAATGAGGCAAAACTCTGTGATTCGTGATATACTAGAATCAATCTACAAAGGGGAAAGGGAGATCTAAGTGTGAGGGGAAATATTCAGTAGGCCTTGGGGTGACCACAACACATCGTGAGGCCGTAAGGCATCCACATCCCAAGGCCCCAAGGCATCAAACTGAATTCAATCTTCGATCCTTCACACACGGATATAACTTCACGTATAACGTACTCAGTAATACTTCAGCTTTGACGTCCTTATACTGCCCTATTGAGAGACTGTATATAGGATGAGCTTACTGACTAAACGGGGTATAAATTTGTGATTCTATCTTTAGACAAATAACATAGGCAAAAAATTTCAATGATTGAGGGCTTTCGACTAACTTATGGGATGCTAAAAAAGGTTATATATTGCTTTCCGCTATTTCCAAATACCTCCAAAAGTCCAGCCATTAGTCACGACCGTGAGAAGAACATTGTTAAGCAGCTAAAAAATGAAGACATCTCTTGGTTACAGACAGGATTCGGCCCCGTTGATCATGCCGTGCCGGACGAGTCCGATCATCGACTATCTTTATCCCTTTCCATTCAGCCCCTAACAACCGCCAGCAAGAACCCATCATACCCCTTCTCCCCCACCGTTTGCAACACCACCGCGTCCACCCGACTGTCCTTCCCCGCCAATTCCACCACCTTTCGACTCCCCCGAATCCGCTCATCCTGCTTCCCCAGCTCCTCGTCCGCCAAATTCCCTCGCCGCACCACGTTATCCACCACGATCGTACCCCCGGGCACCGACAACTGCACCGCCACATCAAAATACTCCCAGTTATTCTGCTTGTCCGCATCGATGAACACGAACCCAAACGGCTCCCGCTTCCCCGCCTTCACCTCCTCCAACAGCCGCGGGAGCACCTCGACCCCCGCGCCCACCTCCACGCTGACCCGGTCGCTCACGCCCGCGCGCTCGAGGTTCTCCCGCGCGATCTTCGCATGGTGCGCGTCGAACTCAACCGTCACGACATTGGTGTCGGCCTTGTTGGCACCGGCACCGGCGCTGTGGCTCAGCCAGATGGTGCTGAAGGCGCCGAGGGTGCCGACTTCGAGGATGTTCGTCGCGCGCGCGGCGCGGGCGAGCAGCATGAGGAATTTGCCTTGCGAGGCGGTGACGGCGATGTCGGGGAGGCCGCTGGCCTGCGCGTGCGCGTGAGCGGCGTCTAGGGTGGATTTGGTGGGCGCGAAGGGAGGGGCGGAGGTGTCGAGGCTCTTTTCGGTGTATTTGTCGACGGCGATCCACGCGGGAGCAGGAACACCGACTGAAGAGTTAGTGGTCGACATGTCTGTTGTGGGCGGATGATATTGCGATGGTTAAGTAAAATCCTTCCCGTTGATCGCGTCCACTCAAATTGTGAAGTACAGGTAATGGAGATGGAGATGTCGACGGTCTGAGTTCGATGGAAAGATGGTCTCTGGCTTTACTGATATAGGCATCGATGTCCTCCCGATGTCGCTGCTGTCCTTATCACATCATTCCTACTTTGAGAAGGTGCCATCTTCCTCTGACTCACTTGGACCATGATGTTGTGACTGAGGACGCGCAATCCGTGGGAAACTTGTGGAATGCAACGCCGCGCACCCCAGACCGGATATGGAGTCGGCGTTAAGCCATGCGGACCGAAGTTCGCTTGAGTGGACGGAATAGAATTGTATCATAGATGTATTCGTTACGTCGCTTTTCTCGGCGGTTAGCTGAACTACCTAGCTAAAACTCGGGAAGCTCGGGAGCTCCGAGTTCGTGTTGTGACGACAGGATGGCTTCCCTGTTCTTTACCGTGCCCAACCTAATTACGTCCTCCTTCGCGATAGGACATTGTTGAATGTATGGAATATTCATGTGTGCTCCTCCAAGGAGGCGCACACGCTTTGCTCCTGAGATGGATAGACGGAATTACCAATGTGTACCAAGAGGATAAGTTGATAGAGCGAAGGGGTTCGTTTGATTTTTCCAGTTGTTGGGACGACGCCCCACAGTTCAGAAGCATCTGATTCCGTCACATTCATCATGTTTCTCGTCTTCACCAACGCCTGCAAGCGGATTTTCTTCTCACCAGAACGAAGCACATGAGAAACCTACTGTGAACTGTAATCACCGGTACTCTTTATATCTCATAGTATTAGTCGCTCTCTCTGGTTCAACGTTCTATCCGTCATCAATCATCTGGAGCTCACTTCTCAAGCGGTGGTCCACTTACATAGGACCGAACCGTGGATGAGACTATCGCCGCGAACCACCTAAATCGAAGTAATCGGCGCTGTCTAGACTCTGGAGTAGCTACACAATTGAGACGTTTCCTATTGCGCTCCCTTCTCCTGGAATCCTCCTTCCCACCGCGAGGAACCTGTTCCTAGCTCTATCAACAGCGTGCTCTCAAAATTTTCTCAAAATTCCCTTAATTTTTAATACCGGTCACAGTCATCTCTATCCATAATCTTCTACCAGCACGCACTCGCACAATTGCTAGGTTCCGATTCAATCAAGAGCTGGAAAATTCCGATATCTGGGACTTCACCCGCTGTCGCCATGGCGGCTCCCCCCAGGATACACTTCGTCCGTCACGGACAGGCGTTTCATAACCTCTCTGCAGACTTATACCACCTCCCCGATCCCTTACTGACTCCCCTTGGGAAACGCCAATGCGAAGAACTCCGCAATACCTTCCCCCACCACGCCTCGATATCAATCATCATCTCCTCCCCCCTAACGCGGTGCCTCCAAACCTCCGTGCTCGCCTTCCCCGCCACGATATCCCGTCCAGGCACCCCACGACAGTCATCCTCGCGCTCGCCCTCCTCCAACACCTCCTACGCAAACTCCCCAACCAGCTCCCGCCACGAAAAATCCCGCGACCGACCCCCCCACCCCGACCTTACCTCCCCGACCGCGCCCGCCTCCGAAGTCCACCCCCGTCCGATCGTCGCGCAACCCCTCCTCCAAGAAACCTCCCATCTCCCCTGCGACACCGGCACCGCCTTTCCCCTCCTCCTTGGCGGCCTCCCGAACCTCCTCGGCATCTCCGCCGCGCGCGTCGACCTCTCGCACCTCACCGACCACGAGTGGCTGGACAAGCGGGCGAACGGCCCGCACGGGACGTCGGGGAAGTCGCTGGAAGCGCGGGCGAAGAGTGCGCGGCAGTGGTTGCGGATGCTAAGGAATAAGGGGCACACGGACGTGGCGGTGGTGTGTCATGCGGGGTTTCTGGGATGGTTGACGGGGACGCGGAGGGCGAGTTGGGCCGTGCAGAAGGGGAAAGATCAGTGGGAGAACTGCGAGTGGCGGACGTATGAGTTTGTGAGCGGGGATGATAAGGATGCGGTGTTGGTGGAGGCGGCGGAAAGTCGGGTGAGGAGGGGGGTGTGTTCGGAGGAGGAGGCAGCGCATGAGGAGACGGAGAAGAGTGCGGCGAGGAAGAGCTGGAAGGACTTGTTAAAGCCGAAGAAGGGGGAGAGGGATGAGGATGGTGGAGAGGGATATGGGGGGGAGATGGAGAGCCTGAATAAGGCACAGCACACTACGCTGATGAAGAATCGAGACTGGGTAGGCGGGTATTGATATCGCATGGAGGTTATGGCGAGTCTTTGGAGGATTTTTCCACTCATATGTGGACATGTCACGGATCCGACTTAATCAGGGTTTCGACTTTCACTTCCAGCTTGGGGATGGCATGGAAGGTCTAAAGTACCGTATACCTCCAGGGGCGTAAGTAACCCCACATTGCTCCTATTAACTCCTAATTTAACGACATTGATCAAGTTCTGAATGGCACTATTCCAGATAACACTTAAGTATGCATGCATCGGGTCTAGATACCATCTCCCGACTTCATGACCACATCATCCATCGAATATCGCGCTACACCGCTGTATATCCCCCCGCCCGTACATGTCTATCCGCCTGCGAAACTTATCCCACGCCCAACCACCCCTCTCCCTCGTCCTCATCCCACAATTCAGCGAATCCTACTCTACTCAACACCATAAAACCTCAACATCGAACTTCAATCCATTGCTAGCCACGCAGCCTAGCTCTCCCCACATCAAGCATCCCTCATTCCCTCACAGAATGGTGCAGGGAATAATACAGCAGCTGCAGCTGTCGCCGCATTCGAGGCATTTGGTGTCGGCGGGTTTGGGTTTGAGGACGGAGGGGACCGAGGTGGTGGAGGCGGGCATTGTGGCGGTTCACAATGCGATTGTTCTGAGGTAGACGTGCGATGGAGCTCCTGGGGGAAGTCAGAGGTTGGTATAGATGATAGATGATAGGGTCGGATCTTCGGCGGGGACTTACCTTTGGCTTGGAGGTGTGAAAGATGGGAGTGAGAGGAAGGGTAGAACGTTGAGCTTCGGAGAAGTTGCTGCGGGAAATAGGGAGCAATGGCAGATTACTGGAGGTACTGTATTTAGGAGACACAACTGGAGGGAACCATAGGGATGTTATTTGAAGTCAAAGAGAGATATCAGCGCTTCGTGAATCGGAGTTGAAACATGAACAGCCCCATCATGTTGATCAAGCAGAGGAGAGCAAGTGAGGTCTGTGGCTGTGCAACTATATTTTTGTGGGGTAACATAGGGTTTGCCTACGAATTGAAACGGCGCCAGTCTATTCTTGGATCGGTGATGACGTCGACTCTGGGTAGGGTTGTTGTGCTCGGGATACCGGAGTAGTGAAGTTCAGATCTATTGTGTTCCATCTTCCAGCTTTGAGCCTTCTCAAAGGAATTCAAGGCGGTGTCTACGGAGTAGATATGTGGATAATTGGCAGTTGGATACAGATCATTGCCGACCCTCAGACTTCAACTGGTGGAGGGTAGGATGTGTCGAACTTTGCTATATCTACCCTTCTTCTATATTCCTAGAGGGGGCTTCCCTTGTGGGGGTTTAGCTTGGTTGGGTAGATTCATCAGGATGGACATGCAGGCTAGGAGACTTCAAGGCCGTGATAGCATAAGGGGTATCGTAAATCGTAGCAGTCTTAGACTTCAGCGACCATATGCTCTCCGGCGCCTGTGTATAGTAGACATTAGAAACATCCCGAATCCAAGGCACTGAAAGCATCGATGAGGTACCTATCTAGAGGCACCATCCCACCAGTTCTACCATTGAGCTGTCGGCTTTCAGCCTTCCTCAACTTGGTACAGGATACTTTGGATAATGGATAGGATCCTCTTTACATTAGAATGCATGGAATACAACATATCTCGCAGCAGCCTCCATCACACGTAGGACATGCTATGCAACCGGTCTGGACGGTCAACTTGATAGATTACTGATCGAGGAGGTTGAGCTGATCATTGACGACAGCACCTTGCTGATTGATGATGTCAGCGCGGTATATGTGCTGGGTGGTCTTGTTCAGACAGTATTGTTCAAGTTAGCGGGTAAACCCGTAGTATAGGATCGAACAGGTGCGAATGACATATCGAAGTCTCTTGGTGGGTAGGAGAGTATTGAGGGACCGATGGAGTGATGCGAAGGGGATTCAGGGGTGGCAAGTTGGGCATTGGGGTATTAGGAGATTGTTCACAGAAGCAATAACACAGTTGAAAGTAGTAGATTGACAAAATAATGTGCCCATGGTCAAGAAATAAGCAAAGTACCTCGAGTACGGTTAACGGTACAGAAAGCTGAGGATCCATCTTCTGCTGGGGCAAAGGCCCGAGCCGCACCCCATCCCATCAGATCGCGTACCAGATATGAGATCAGATAAGGGACCGACGTAGGGCTACGCTAATATTTCTATCTCATATTATTTCCTACCTTACCGGGCTTCCCGCCGTCATTTTCTCTGCCTACTCTTGTGCAGTCTCTCCGCAACCTTTCCTCCCACTAGTTAGAAAGGAGAGAGTTAGTACTCCATCCTTCGCCTTCGACGTGCTTGTCTAGCCTCCGGAATCGGAGAGTCAGACCAAGCTGCCTAATTCAAAGGCGGATAAAACGGCGATTTTATATCTAAGGATGTAACGTAGATGGCTAATTGATCACGGAATAGATGGACGAGGTTAGGAGATTACGAAGCCCACCGACGATCTTATCTTATCTGATGGAGTCGGTGACTCCACCCATGCGTGCCATGCACTCCATGTCACATGCAGAACCAGGGATAGAAATTACATGTAAAACCAGCCTTTGTATGTAGGCTGGTGAGATTTTCCCCCCTCAGAAGTACCAAAATAACCAGTTTTGAAATTTACAAGGCAATGTAGCCACATTTTCACCATTATTTTCAAATTAAAAACTCAGAGAGAGTTCTTTAGAATTCCCTCTTGCTCTTGGACCCCAAAATTTGATTCTAATAAGCTGCGGGGTTGCGTGATTTGGAATTGAAGTCGTGGTAGTTTTTTCATATAACTCATCAAGTTCAACACACAATTTAACCACAACGCAACGGGGATTTGGAGCTCTAAATTAGCAGGATCGGTTATCCAGGCTTTAGTATTCTTCTTATTTTTTAAAAATTATATTATTTCGAAGCTGGCGTTGAGCTGTTTGGAGTTGAAGTTGAAATATGGTGGTTTTGATACCTCTGAGGGGGGAAAATCTCACCAGCCTTGTATGTAACAATTGGAAATGTAACGTAAATTAGCAATTTTTTGTATTACTGTGACATTTACAGCTAGTCCCAATGCGGTTAAAATTAATGCCTTATTATCTATCTCAGTCTAGTTTATTGATACCTTGATGCCTCAGGTAGAGGTAATTTATCCTGAATTTGGCGAGTTGGTCGGCTTGGTCCATTCCTCACAGAAATTCCCTGGGCCCATCAAAACGCGCCTGTAAACTTGGCATGCAACGGAAATATTTTGGAGCGAACTATACTAGCTGAATACCTCCGTTGGCGCGGCCCTTTTTTCAGCTACGAAGTCCTGACTCTCATCCTGTCTCTTCAGATCGACAATCCTTTCATGCATTCCGTATAGAACATTGACACGCAAAAGAGCTAGGACGCTGCTACCAGGTGGCAGTTGGGGTTGCGAGTTGTCAGCAGTAGAATCATTTTTTCCAGATACGCTGTTATATATTGTCCATAATGACTGCCCAACACGATCCGACTCTGCCCGACGAGGAACACGCGCCGCTTCTCTGCGAGGGGGATCGGGTTCAAAACCATGGCGCCATTCTGGATGCATATGGATCTGGGGAGGTCGACAATGCCGAAGAAGGTGGTCTCGCATCCCCTGACTTGAAAGAGCCGAGTACTTTGAAATTGATCGTGATCATGGGCAGCATATGGGTTGGCGTTTTCCTTGGTGCTCTCGGTAGAACTCTCTGCCCAATCCTTTTAATATCCGAACTTCGCTAATATAGTTCTAGATGCCACGGTCATTGCGACTCTCAGCGCCCCTATTTCCACTTCGTTCCATTCCTTCACCCTCGTATCCTGGCTCGCATCCTCGTATCTCATCTCCAATGCGGCCCTCCAGCCCCTTTCCGGCCGCCTCACCGACATCTTCGGCCGTCGGTCCGGCCTAATCTTCTCCAACGTCTTCTTCGGGGCCGGGAATCTGATCTGCGGTCTTGCCAGCTCTGAAGCCGCCATGATCTTTGGCCGCGTCATCGCCGGAATGGGAGGCGGAGGCCTGTTTGCCATCAGCACGTTCGTCGCTTCGGACTTGATTCCGCTTCGCCAGCGCGGCCTCTGGCAAGGCTTTGGGAATGTGTGCTATGGCCTTGGCGCGGGTCTCGGAGGCGTGTTCGGTGGGTGGATTAACGATCGCTGGGGATGGCGGTGGGCGTTTCTTATCCAAGTGCCTTGTGTTGCAGTCTCGGGCGTCCTGGTCGCTTTTACGGTCAATATCCCGGTGAAGGAGAATAATCTCTCTAGAATTCGCCGCGTCGATTTTCTTGGGGCGATGACGCTGGTCGTGTCGTTGACCCTTCTCCTTCTCGGTCTCAACTCGGGTGGCAACATCGTGCCCTGGACCCATCCCCTGGTTTTGACCGCGTTGCCACTCTCTTTGGTGTTCCTCGTGGCATTTATATTTGTGGAGGACCGAGTCCCCGAACCTATCATACCTACACGTCTTCTAACGCGTCGAGCGGTCTGGGCTCCATGTGTTGTCAATTGGCTTCAGACGATGGCTGTCTTCGCGGTTGTGTTCTACATTCCAATCTACTTTCAAATCCGCGGCCTCAGTGCGACTCAATCAGGAGCAAGGATGATTCCCCAGGCGCTTGGCGCTGCTATTGGATCCCTGGGCTCTGGATTGATCATGCGAGCGACAGGACGCTACTACTACTTGAACCTCGTTACTCAAGCCTTATTTTTGGCCGGTTTTGCACTTATCGCGATAACCTTCGACCAGGACACCCCCGATGCCCCCCCCTATATCTACATCCTTATGGTCGGAATTGGATATGGAGGGATGCTGACCATCACACTTCTTGCACTGATCAGTGCGGAGGATCATAAGCATCACTCGGTCATTACTTCCGCGTCGTATGCATTCAGAAGCACTGGCTCGACTCTCGGAATCGCGATCGCCAGCGGCGTTTTCCAAAACCTGCTGAAGTCGGGCCTCTGGAAGAGATTCGGTGATCGAGAGAATGCGGGAGAGATCATAGGGCGGGTGCGAGATTCCATTGATGAAATTCGTCATCTGCCTCCTGGATGGCAGAAAGGCGTACTAGAGGTTTACATGGCGAGTTTCAAAGGTGTTTGGTGGACCATGTTCGGTCTTGCAGTTTTGAGTGCACTCTGCAGTCTCCTCATGAAAGAGCACGTTTTGCATAATACCCTAGCGAGGGATTAATATCACTCGGGGCTGCATCTCCAGGCACATAAAACCAACGTTGGGCCTAGATATAGGATTAGAGCGATCTATACTATATCGACTTTTAGCCAATTCGCGAGCTTAGTCAAGCTTCACCACGCTGCCTGTAACATCGTTGGTCGTGCTAGGCGGCAACTTCCCTGCTCCAGCGATCAACAAATACCGCGGATCCTGCTGGAACACCAACAACGACCTCGTGTAAGACTTGCCCTCCGGCGTGGCCACTTTCTCCCATGCGTCCTCGGCCCCCAGCGCTTTGTTGATGAAGATCTCCGTCCTCGTTCCGCACGACACAACGATCGTACCATGCTTGCCGCCGACCGGCGTCCACACGACGTACGGCGAGCCATCCGGCACGGTCCCGTCCTTGGAGACGATGGGATGGTGGGGCGCGTCGTTGAACTTCTCGGGGTTCTTGGAGAGGCGGTAGAAGACGGGGAAGCTGTAGTTCGGTTCGGTGGGGTTGGGGCCGCCTCCATACTCGTATACGTAGATGTATTGACCTGATATAGTGAGCGGAGTGAGAGGAACACTTCCTTAGGGACTTACCGTTGGGCAGATACGCGACGGTCGGCATTCCTGGGCGGTCGGTATAGGTTGGGTACGCGACATCAGTAACAGGAGGACCCCAGTTGATCAAGTCCGACGACGTCTGATGGGAAAGCTTCTGACCATACGTGGCGTTATCGCGCTGGTCCGCATAATAATAAATGAGCTTCTTCTGGTATGTCATCAAGAATGGCTCCCCTGTCAACGATCAGCTTCGAACTTTCGAGATTGCAACGATTCGGAATGAAATCTCGGCAATATGGCTCTTGTCACTTACACACTGGAGTTTCTCCCTGTCATCCGGCTGTCAGTCCTCGTGGATGCTAGAAGGGGTCTAAGTCCACTTACATTGTTCGGAATCGCCACTCCTCCCTTCGCTACATGAGACACAAACTCCCACGTCCGCCCCCAATCTTTGGATGCGTACAACTCAAGCTATCCAGCATGTTAGCTACTAATAACCCATCCTTAGGGATAATCTTACCTGCGTTGACGACAGATCCATCGGAATCGCCGACCCAGCAAGCAGCAGCGTCCCCTTCTTAAACCCCCCAATCGTCTCCGGAAGCAGATACAAAAACGGCTGATATCGCAGCCCAACCCCCAGCTCCGTGTCCTGCACGCGGGCGATCTCCGCCCACGTCTCGCCGCTGTCGGCCGATCGGTAGATGGGGAAGTGCACTAACGGCGGCTCGGGGCTGTAGTTCTCCCAGGTGGCGAGAAGGTCGTTGTTCGGGAGCTGGACGGTCCGCGCGTACAGGACGTGCGGGTCGGTGTAGTTGCGCGGCGGGCTGTGGATCACGACGCTGGAGAGCTCGTGGGGTCGGGTTTGGGGTCGCGGAGGGGATTGGGCGTCCACGGGGGTTGAGACAGCCGTGGAGATGATGGCGGCGGCGGCGACGAGCCACGCTTTGATGGGGAGGGACAACATGTTGATCGCGGAAACGAGGTAGTGCGGATGTCGTAGCTCTGCACCGTGACTTCAGATTCTTCGCGATGTGGAGATCAGTCCATGATAATTTATATTCGGCGCTTTCCGCCCTCTTTTCCCCTGCACGCATCATTGCTATATGCCTCGCATTGGCAACCAGGTTTTCATATATCTAGCCTGTTCCCCGGAAACCCGAATTTAACCATTCGCTATGGTACTTGTCCTCCACCAATGGCGAGACCGTTCCCGTTCGCAGATCCCTGACTAGGATTGATGAAGCCAATTAGACAAGACATGTCGTATGACCCGACGGGCATTTCTCGCAGGTCGCTTCGATCTTTGAGGGAAAATTAGAGAAGTTTAATGCCTTTGCATTGGAGATGCTGAGGATTGCGGTATTCCAAGCCGGAGAATTGCAAACTGTTGGATGACTGTCTTCGGTAACTCGGTAAGCATCCTGGCTCAGCCAATATACCCATCGACAGGCCATCCCTATTCCCTGATCGAAAATATTCCAAGCTGAATATTATAAGAATATTATAAGATCTCGAAAATGTGTAGGACAGGTACAGTTTTCTACCTGTTTTGGTTCCTTCCTTTTCATGCTCCATGGTATGACTGAAACATGTTTGGCCAACGCTTCGCCAGCGTCATGCGGATGAGCTGTGGAGTGGTTTATAAATCGTGGCTGGTGGTGTTATGTGATCTATTCTTGAAGTTGGCATTGAAGGGGACGAACGTGAAACTTGCATTAGTCAAACTTTGTTCGATATTCTTTTGCTCCCCTATAGATCATATCCAACATTCGTATCATACATCAAGTCGACACCGTCAGTCCTCATCCCAAACCGTTGTATTTGGAACTTTAGCAGGTTATTTGGTTCCAGTGCATTGCATCCGTGCAAGTTTCTAGATGGCATAAATCACAGTCTCGAGTGCAAGTAGGGTCCCAGCCACCTTGAGTCAATGACTGTTGTGCCCAAAAGAGTGGGATGTGTTCAGGTAGCATTAAGTAAAATTCTATACCCGGACCTGGGAGCTGCTTTTCTCAAGACTAGGAGCGAACCGAGCAACAATAGCACGACCAACCCTAATGCTTGGCTCGTCCAGAATCCTCGTGCCCAGCTCCGCAAGGAGCATAGTCAACGGAAAAATAAACGCCTGCGAGACCAAAAACCCGGTCGAAAATCCAATAGGCCCGGCATCCGGGATCGCCAGCTTATAGTCGAACCAGGTCCTAATATCGCCCGGGACTCTGCCAAACATGCGCTCGATACGGTCGCCGACCGTCCATAGGAAAGGGATGTGGAGGAGATAGAGGGAAAAGCTGATCCGTCCCAGATATTTCAGCCATCGGGTGGTGAAGAAGGACTGCAACCATTTGAGTCTGAGGACGGCGTAGACGAGGAGAATGGCGCCGGGGGTGTTCCAGAAGCGCCAATACTCGTCTTTGAAATACATCGCTGGAATGAGCATCGTCATGTAATACCACCCGGGCGTGTTGTAGGAAAGCTCCGGATCGTCGTGTTTATCAGACGGTTGACACACAATCCACCAAGCCAAAACGAACAGCACGTTATAAACCACGTTTGTCACTCGGTTCGAGAAGCGCTTGATCAAAACACGGTCGATGCCATCCAGATCGTTGATGGCGAGAGCCACGCCACCCATAAAGCAGGACATCGACCACTGCTTGATGAACAAGAAGATGATACCGGTGATGCTGAAAAGGCTCATCCGATATCGTGGGACAAACGCTGTCACTGCGAGCATTGAATACACTAGCAGGGAGCCTGTGAATTCAATAGGCATCGTCCAAGCCGGCGGATCGTACGGATACCACTGCGTAAATGACCCATGCTTGATGAACGGATTCATCAGCAAAGCGGTTTCATATACCCAGTTCCTGAGCTCCAGAAGAAGACTGTCTTGCGGCACCGGCCATTCCAAGACAGGCGCCAGTCCAAATGGCAGGTGCATGATGAAAACAAACGAAAGCGCTATGGTGAGCGCTGGGATATACAGCCGAAACGGGCGGCGAATAACCGCAGAAAGCAGCCGGCGATGTGCTGCAGCTGTGTCCCCATCGCGAATGAGTCGAAGGGGACCGGCACTGAGCACATAGCCTGAGAGGACGAAGAAGATCGCAACGGCGGCATTGCCACCGTTGAAAAAGATGCGGAGGAAGGGGAAGGTGGCAAACGCTGTTCGGCCGTGATATCCAAAGCCTTCATGGAGGATGTCATGTGAGCTATACCATGAGGGGTGTTGATGGCTCATGTAGACCAGGAAACAGGCGAGACCGCGTAGTCCATCGAGAAATGCAGTAGCCCGAGCCGGCGGTTTGGGTGCCGGTATGCTTGGTTCATCTTCCGTGGAAAGTAGCAGATTTTCGTTTTCAGAGTGGTCTTGGAGACCCTCATCTTCGACAGCCCATTCCAGTTCTATATCGTCCACCCATTGCTCTTCTATGTCATCCGGGTGTGAAACCATCTGAGCTGATGAATCAGGGCAACCGATCGTTAACGTCAACACTCCCCACGTAGCAACATTGCTGGCCTCGTGATGGTGTTTGCGACGAAAATATGTCTGTAAATGTGTAATTTCTTGTCGAGGACACGAAACAACTCACAAACCACGATCCAAGATCGCAAGGTTAAACGTATCAAAGTTCCAGCCATCCGCAATCTGCATGTGATTACGTTAGTCCGGATCTGGGCTAGTGACGCCCCTGAACAGGGGATTGCAGATTAAATAATCCACATTTGTTGATCGTTTTGGCGTGTCAATCAATCACAGAAACAATCGGTAACTGTCGCACGTGATGTGCTAAAATGGTTGGGAGTGAGATGCTGTTGTTCCAGCAGCGAAGTTGTTGTATTGTGTAAGTTGTGTGTAAGTTGTGTGTAAGTTGTGTGTTCTAGCTGAATGCCTGGTCCCCCGGCCCTACAGATATACGAGAGTCACGGCAAGATTATTAATGCAGTTTGTAGCCTTGGACTCCTAGAGCTCATGCCTTGGCCTGCGACAGTAACCTATCAGAGGTAGTGAGATGCTTGTATTCGGTCAGAAGTACATAGTTTACCTTGGAGGGTATATATATACCCAGGCTTATGTAATCTTATGTAATCTACAAGAGGCGGTGACTAAGTAATAGTCGCGGATTTCCGACAACATGTTACTTTGGAAGTTTGGATAATTACCGAAGACCGCGGGCATAATATAGCATTACAGTAGTCAAATGAAGTTCCCAGCTTTCTCGAAGACGTCTTGAGAATCTGGCAATGCTAAATGTAAGGGTCTCACTGTAGGAAATCTCCAATCGTGAGGCAAACATTGAATTGTTGCTATGAAGGAGGAATCTATCTAAAGTGTGCAAGGCGTTATGTCCTGATGCTGCAGAGCAAACAGCAGGGCGCATACCGGGGTTTATGTAATCGTCTATTGACTGTTAGTATCCCGTTACGGCTGCAAACGGTAAAAATTAGCACTTGGCTACTTAACGGATGCTTACCATGTAAACGTCAGACCATATAAGCGCTTGACTAGGTTAGGCGTTTGGTTATTTTACGGTATGTGTAAATACCGGTTGTTCAACGGTTTGTGAACGGTTTGTTAAGGAATAGTGGGCCCTAGTGGCTGCCAATAGGATCTCCTCAATTTTAATGCCTGACAGCCTGAGGCGCTCAAAATACACATGATTTTCAGCGTCACGTGCCTCATTGCCGATGTTCTCCCAGCCTTGGTCTAACATGCCTTGCCTGGTGCTACCCCCATGCACTCCTCCCATACCAACACGATGCTCCACCAGCCACACCACGAGTTCCATGCCACTAGTTACAGTGGCCAGCAAGCCCCCATTGTTACATAAACTGGATCCTCGAGTCGACATACATCACGGTGCGAGAGGCGTTGTCGAGCGTAAGCTGAGCATTGTTCTCTGTAATCGGGACAACGTATAACTGGCGTCCGGTGATCGAGGGGAGGCCGACGAGGGTCTGCTCTTCGCTGAGCTCGAAGAGGGGATAATTAAAGACGCGATCTTGACGTAACGGTTCGAATGGAACGGCGGGAGTAATGAGGAAGAATATGCGGCAGTTATCTAGGGATATTAGCAGTAAACTCGGGCCAAGAGGGAGGCTGCTTACCTTTCAGGGCCTCATGGATAAAGATCTGGTCGATACGACCAAGCATACCACTGTCATACTCTACGTAATGGCCACGGCTTAGAGTGATACGCTGCTCAGATCTCCTATAAGCAGAAGGTCAGCCTGTCTTACCCATTAAATGCCACTGCATAGTACTTACATCTCCCCCTCCCGGCGCGGCTCCCTCCAGACAAACGATACCTTCTTCCACCAACGAAGTCGACGGGTGCCAGGATGGTTGACAGGCATCTTGTAGTCGGCACTATACGACCGGAAAAGTTTGGCGCGAAACCCGGCGGAGAACTTAGAGACAGACACTGGGAGCTGGAGTGTCTGCTCTACGTACTTGTTAGGAATCCGACCAAGCACAGACGGTTGACGATGCGTATCGTCCTCCCTGGTAGCCAGGGAGATATCATGGTCTGCGTCCAACTCCCCAGCTCCGGTAGCTCCAGGGACCACTTGGAGCTGAGCGATCGTAGCGTGAGGCATCAGGGAGGTAAACAACTGGGGACAACGTACACGGAGGTTTTGGAACTGGGCACTAAGGGCGGGATGCGTGACCTGGAAACTCCCATGGAGTAAGAAGCGGAGCGTCATGGTAAAGCTCTCAATTTCAAGGAGATCCTTCTCAGGGTGCTTCTTATTCGTCCTAAGGATGTTCTTCTTATAGGATCGATGCTTCAGCTCACCACCAAGAGCATGGACGTTAGAGACGAGTGCATACTGGTCCTGTACCAGTGGGTAGTGAAGGGCAGCATGGACATTGGGGCGACTGATATTGTTCCTGTATCCCGCCGCCTTGTTTTTGGTCGACGCAGCCTCTTTCTTGGTGATGGCTACTGGAGTTGTAGAGGCAGTAATGATAGACATAGGGGTCTGCGTTGGCTGCGTCGACGAACCTGGCTCAACGGATCCTGTACGAGAACCAACACGAGAGAATGCCCTGGTCTGAATTGCCGCAGCACGAGAGGCCACTTCGCAGAGCCGTTGGAACATAGAGCGAGACGCCGTAATCTCCATATGTAGGGATGCGCGCTCCGCGGTAGTCAGATAGGCGGCGGAGAGGAGAGTATTTACCTTTGCCACTGATGCAACAGCCTTGACCAGAATAGTAACGATATGGTCATTGGTAGGGAGCTTGGGGTTTTCCACAGCGGCCAGCTCAAGGACCTCGGTGCTAAAGACAATATGTGCCTCCTGGAGAAAGGTCGGCTTGATATGCGAGGCACGCAGCCAAAGGCGGAAGAGAACGGGTATAATAACAGACCAGCGAGCGTGCTCTTGGAGCGTATAGGAGCCGATATAAAATAGCGGCGACTGAATGCGGTTCCATCCTGGTGGAAATGGGAACGAGCGTACTTTCTGCGTATATCCAATAGCCGCTTGGGGGGTTAGTACTTGGTCAAGTATAGCCAAGTGTAACAGCTCCGTAATACCACCTGCTTCGGAGTGCGCCATATCACCAGGGCAATCAATATTAATAGGATTGCAAGGGGCCAGCTTCTTCAAGGCAGGGAATTCGACACGCATGCCGTTGGCTCTGGCGAATGCCTCGTGGTGCGTCTTTTGCCAGACCGAATCCATATGCTGGCGTTGACGCATGACTTCGAAATGGTACCGACCACTGTGGACGATATTAAAGTCCAGGTTGCCTCGTCGAGGAGCGTCGATGGTACAGAAACGGCAGTTGAAATTTGCGGTCGGCCCCAGGAACCCTCCATTTAGCTGTTGCTGCGGCATATCACCGATGAATGCAAGGAAGGGAATACATACGAAGTATGTCTTGCCGTTGATATCCATATCAACGCCCCTATCCAGTCTTTGCATCAACTCTAGGGCGTCGACGACGTCGTCAAAGTTGCTACCGTGAGGGCCCAAAGTCAGTGGAAATACATTGGCCGGAATATTCCGCTCGGCTTGGACAAGGCAGGCCAGGAGAAGATAGAAGCCCATAATAGTACGGTGCATGTTACGGAAGAGCCCGAAGCCATCGAGATACCCAAGGATAGGTACAGACAAGATATCCGTCCCCCTAGGCCTATTCCGCTTTGCGAAATTGCTGACGAAATATTCTCGCCCATAGACCTCAAGCTCAAGTTCGCCGCGGATCGGGTGGGTCTTAAAGATAGGCCGGATACCTGTATTCTGGTTATAGACCCGACGTACAATATGCTCGTTTGGAGAGAGGCTGTCTGTTGATCGATCGCTAGGGAGTTGTACAGAGCTCCTGAAGGCATAGTCGAAATAGACAGTAATGTCTGTTAGGCGCTCAATCAATTCTTCGGGGACAACGTCGATAGTATCATCTAGCATAATGAATTCGCGGGAGTGAGGAGGCGGGTCGAGAGTAAGATTTTGGTACGTTGGGCGAGAGAGGAACTGGTTTATTAGCTGAAACCGCTGGACCTTGAGGACAATCGAACCCTCTGGGCTACTATGCTCGCGATATGTGCGGAAATCCCTTCCAAAAGCCACGATTTGGCCAAGATGCGGCTTTTGCGTCATCGTCTGACAGAGACACTGTGTATCGTTGCATTTGAAACGGACGAGATCCGAAGGAAAAACTGGCTCGGTCGTATTTGGATAGTAGCCGTACTGACCAGAAGAGCAACGGATTGACGACGCCCAGGCAATAGATTCCCAGAGCTCTTTAGGCGAGTCGACGAACCTAGCCATCCCAAAGAACATATTTGAGCGTAGCTCGGTGTTCAAGATTGTCCTAAAGAGCTCGAACGGGTTAAAGAAGTAGAGGTTCTCTGCATGCGTTCGTAAACCGGCCTCAGCCTCCCCACGGCGGCCACTCGGGAGCTTGTTAGCACTGAGGGTAATCGGTTTAGAGCGGATTTCGAGGAGGGGCAGTTGTTCGTTCACTTGTTTCTTTATAGTATCAACCCTTTTAGGGAGCTTGCTGATCTCTTTATTGCTAGTAAGGTTCAGAACCTCAACGAGCGCCTTATACTGGGACCGAGGGACACCGTACTGCTGTACCCATGTGCCCATTGCAAGGGCGAAGTCAGTCATTGGCTGGGTGGCAATCCTGCGTGGCAGAGGTAGAGAGGTATCTGAAGGAATGAAATACTTGGAGTTGGCAGCGAAGGGGTGAGGAGCTTCTTGGGTAACTTGACTTGTCTCCGTGTTAGCCACCGTCTGACTACTAATAGTAGCGGTCTCTTCATCGGATTCGATATCGTTAGCAACAGGCGTTAAATCCTCGATATCCTCTGCCGGGAACTGGTATTCAGCAAGTTCACGACGGTCATCCAGGGTAGGCATCGTCTCATTAAGCTCGCTTGCTAGCATGGCCTGCGTACCCCCGAGTATGGCTTCGAAGCTATCAAACCCAAGGTCTTCTTCAGT